GAAAACTGGTATAAGATAAGGATGACCTCTCTCACCACTCCTATTCAACAAAGTATTGGAAGTTCTGGCCAGGACAATCAGGCAAGAAAAATAAACGGTATTCAAACAGAAATGGAGAAAGCCAAACTTTTTTTTCTTTTTCTTTTTCTTTTTTTTTTTTTTCTCGCAGATGAAATAATTCTGTGTCTAGAAAACCCAACAATCTCAGCCCAGAAAGGTTCTTAAGCTGATTACTTGAGCAAAGTCTCAGGATACAAAATCAATGTACAAAAATCACTAGCATACACCAACAGTCAAGCTGAGAGCCAAATCAGGAATGCAATCCTATTTATAACTGACACAAAAAGAATAAAATACCTAGGAATACAGCTAAACAGGGAAGTGAAAGATCTCCTTTCAAGGAGAACTACAAAACACTGCTCAAAGAAATTAGAGATGACACAACACATAAAAATAAAATTCCATGCTCATGAACAGAAAGAATCAATATCATAAAAATGGCGATACTGTCCAAAGCAATTTACAGATTCAATACTATTCCAATTAAGCTACCACTGAGATTCTTCATAGCATGGGAGAAAGCAATTTTAAATTCATATGGAACCAAAAAAGAGCCGAAATAGCTAAGACAATGTTAAGCAAAAAGAACAAAGCAGGAGTCATCACTATCTGACTTCAAACTATACTACAGGGCCACAGTAACCAAAACAACATGATACTGGCACAAAAAAAGACACAGAGACCAATGAAACCAAATAAAGAATCCAGAAAAAAGGCTGCACTTCTACAACTATCCGATCATTGACAAAAACAAGCAATGGGAACAAAATCTGACAAAAACAAGCAATGGGGAAAGGATTCCCTATTCAGTAAATGGTGCTGGGATAACTGGCTAACCATATGCAGAAGATTGAAACTGAACCCCTTCCTTATACCATATACAAAAATTAACTGAAGATAGATTAAAGACTTAAATGTAAAACACAAAACTATAAAAACCCTGGAAGATAATCTAGACAATACCATTCAGAACATAGGAATGGGCAAAGACTACATGATGAAGATGCCAAAAGCTATTACAACAAAAGCAAAAATTGACAAATGAGATCTAATTAAGCTAAAAAGCGTCTGCGCTGAAAAGGATACTATCAACAGAGTAAACAGAATGGGAGAAAATTTTTGTAAACAGTACATCTGACAAAGGTCTAATATCCACCAACTATAAGGAACTTAAACAAATTTACAAAAAAAAAAAATTTTCAGTGGGCAAAAGACATGGACACTTTTCAAAAAAGAACTACAAGCAGCCAACAATCATACCAAAAAAAAGCTCAAAATCACTGATTGTTAGAGAAATGCAAATAAAAACCTCAGTGAAAAACCATTTCACACTGGTCAGAAATTGCTAATATTAAAAAGTCAAAAAAATAACAGATGCTACAAAGGTTGTGAAGAAAACCTTGCACTACAGCATGGATGAAAGAGCAAGACTCCATCTCAAAACAATGAAAAAGCACACATGCACATGTATGTTCATTGTAGCACTATTCACTACAGCAAAGACATGGAATCAACCTAAATGCCCATCAGTGATAGACTAGATAAAGAAAATGTGATACATACAAACCAAGGAATATTATGCAGTCAGAGAAAAAGAATGAGATCATGTCCTTTACAGGAACATGTATGAAGCTGGAAGCCATTATCCTTAGCAAACACAGGAATAGAAAACCAAATACTACATGTTCTTACTTATAAGTGGGAGCTAAATGATGAGAACACATAGACACAAAGAGGGAAACAATATACATGGGGGCTTATCAGTGGGTAGAGGAGCAGGAGGAGGGAGATCAGGAAAAATAACTAATGGGTATTAGGCTTAATGACACAAATTTACCTATATAATGAACCTACACACGTACCCCTGAACTTAAAAGTTAAAAAAAACAACAAAAACTAATATTTTCTTGAATACTAGAAGAATGTTTCCTCAAATCTGGGGGCTTTTCCCAATGTAATGCCTACATATATCAGAACATTTTATATTTAATATGCATTGTTATATTTTTTCTCAGAGAACTTTGTTCTGATTATTTACATTTTTCATCAAATTTTCTGAAAACAACTCAATCCCTAATTTTTCGTGTCTGCTGATTTTTATGTTGTGAATATTCCAACCATAACCAACTTTCAAGCTTTTAACATGACAATACTAAATGCTAAGCAGAAAAAAAGATGCACAATAGCCACACAGTTACAAAGAATCTCTACCATATAGATACAATACATGGAAATAATCTAAAGAGCACAGATTAAAATAAAATATATTAGGTACAGGTAGTGATGAGCTTTTAGTACTTACTACCTTTGGTTTTAAGCAATATTAAAAGGTCTAATATCTAAAATCTATAAGGAACTTAAACAAATGAGATACCATTTTACGCCATTAAAAACAACTGGCTTTTGAAATTCTTAAAAATTTAATTCCTGGAGGCCTCACTATTCCCTGCTGGTTCTATCAATCCTGCCTAGATATCTGTAAGTATTCCCTCCATTAAATTTTCCTAGCTGAGATTTGGTTTCTCTTAATATTCTGACATTGCCTTAGCTAAGGTCTTTATTGTTTCTCTTTTCTTCAATGCCTCCTTGCATCTAGTTGTAGTGCTCCTCAATCCACTTCAGAGAGTGGTTTTACTAGAAAGTGTATGGCACTGTGCTTCTGAAACAAACAAAAGTTTCAAGGATCCACAAATGTAAGTTTATGAGTTCCCTATAACAAGTGAGGTGCCCTCCTCGTCTATACTTTAATTACAGCAATTTTCATACTCTGATGTAATTATAAATAAGTAAATCTCTCTTCGTTAGGAAATTGTAACCTCCTTGAGGACAAAATTGTATCCTACTCTACTCAGAGACTAGCATCTGGTTGATGATCAATAAATACGTAGTGGATAAAGCTTTTCATATAAAATTATTACAACATACTTTTTAAACAAAGTTTTTTGTATTATCTTTCTATGGAAAGTGTCTGTGCAATTTATCTCCAGCAAATTAGTTTCCTGTCTAAGTCTAATATTCTATGACTAAGTAACATATTAGCAGAGTGTTAAAAAACAAACAAACAAAAAACAAAAATAACCTTACTTATGAATTGAGCTTATACTGATATTTGATTTCCTTTTCAAAACACTTTTCACCAGTCCATGTGGGCTATCTTTCCCACAAAATATTAGTCAATCTCAATAAAGAGTACAATAAGATCTTTGAAAGTAATCTTCACAGTTCCAGAGGCATAATCAAAGTTTTAGTTCTGAACTGATACTTTTACAGGTCTGAAAATTAATTGTATTTTATTTTTATTTCTATTATAATGAACTGGACTATGTGTGTGATGGTTAATACTGAGTGTCAACTTGATCGAAGGATACAAAGAATTGATCCCAAATGTGCCTGTGAGAGTATTGCCAAAGGAGATTAACATTTGAGTCTATGGGCTAGGAAAAGGCAGAGCCACCCTTAATCTGGGTGGGCACCATCTAATCAGCTGCCAGCAGGTCTATTTATAAGAAGGCAGAAAAATGTGAAAAGAGAGACTGGCCTAGCCTCCAAGCCTGCATCTTTCTCCCATGGTGGATGCTCCCTGCCCTCAAAAACTGGACTCAAAACACTTCAGTTTTGGAACTTGGACTGGCTTTCTTTGCTCCTCAGCCTGTAGATGACCTATTGTGGGACCTTGTGATCATGTGAGTTAACACTTAATAAACTCTCCTTTGTGTGTGTGTGTGTGTGTGTGTGTGTGTGTGTGTGTGTGTGTGTGTAAAGGCTGGAAGAGAGACGGCAGGGTAGCAGGAGTGGAGTGGAGACCATGGGCATTTGAGCCACTTCCTCATGTAACTTGCTTGTGCCATCAGGACCTGCTCAAGCTTGATCACATATATACCACTTCCATTTGAGGATGGAATGCTGCTGTGCATGATCCACTTTATGGTTAGATGGGTCAGAAAGCACCCAGTTCATGATAGGCAGTTCAGGTCACATGGTAACTTGAAGACTCAAAGTCAAACGTTCAGTTTCCACCAAAGCCCACTAACAGGTCAAGAGTTGTCTCAAAAGGAGAGTAGTTATCTGCAGAAGATGGCAAGGCCTTGCTCCAAAATCCTAGAGGCCTCTGCTTTGATTCACCTATGGGGCCTGCCAAAGGCTCCAAACAGCATCCCTATCTGCCACTGACATCTCAAGCACCATTGGAGCTGCTGGGTCATATGACCCAAGGAGCACAGCAGCTTGCACAGCAGCCTGGACCTGTTGCAGAGCCTTCTACTCTTCTGGATCCCACTCAAAACTGGCAGCCTTCTGGGTTACTCAATAAATGGGCTGGAGTAACACACCCAAATGAGGAATGTGTTGCTTCCAAAAATACAAATAGGCTCATTAGGCATTGTTCCTCTTTCTTGGTTTTATTAGGGGACAGATGCAGCAACTTATCCTTCACCTTAGAAGGAATATCTCAACAGGCCCCACACCACTGGACCCCTAGTAAGATTACTGAGGCAGAAGTTTCCTGAATTTCAGTCAGATTTATTTCACATCATCTGGCCCACAAATGTCTCATTAAGTCCAGTGTGTTTGCTACTTCTTGCTCACTGATTTCATCAGCATAATATCATCAATTAATGGACCAGTGTGCTATCTTGTAGAAGCAATAAGCGATCAAGGTCTCTCTGAATAAGATAATGACATAAAGTTGGAGAGCTGATATATCTCTGTGGTAGGACAGTAAAGATAGATTGCTGGCCTTGCCAGCTGAAGGCAATTTGCATCTGGTGGAACTTCTGGGCAGGAATGGAAAAAAAGGCATTTGCCAAGTCAATGGCTGCATACCAGTTACCAGGAGATGTGTTAATTTGCTCAATGTCTTGGTCTGTCATCATTTTACTACATTTTCTAAATGTAGGTGACTAGTAAATACTTTTGAAATTCCCCTCAACAGTTTTTAGTACCTGGAAAAGAGGGCCTATGTCCACATCGAAACCAAGATCAGCAAATCCTGTAGCAATAACTTTTGCTCCTCTGTCATGGCCATCTTGTCCCATTTTTGCTACAAGAAGACGAGGTCGGCGACCTTCACGTTCCATGAATTTATGAACCCTAAAAAACATTTAAAAATATATCAGTAGTTAGATATTAATTTTCCAAAGGTAGGATATAAAAACTAATTCATTCACAGCAACTCTTTCAAGTTTATTTAAAAGTACCTAATTTGTTTACTTGTATTTTGGGAATTTTTGTTGTTTTCTTTTTATTTTTTTTTATTTCTGATTTTTATTTGACATTCTGGGCTACATGTGCAGGTCTGTCACATAGTTAAACATATGCCATGGTGAATAGCTGCATAGATCACCCGATCACATAGGTATTAAGCCCAGTATCCATTGGCTATTATTCCAGATGTTCTCCCTGCTCCCACCCATATTTTATTAATATATCTATTTTACATTGAGAGCTCCATTAAAGTCATCTCCCCCTTAGAGGAAAGTCTCAAAGATGGCACAGACTGTAAGCACATAACACTAAGAACATCATAGTGAAGTAAAACAAAAAAATGACAACCTTCCACCTTCATGAGCCAGTCTACAGAGTACAACATGCAGATTTAAATTAAAAGGGACTTCATACTCATTTATACATATATGTGACACACTAGCTGCTTTGAATTGTTTGTATCTCATCTACCCTTCATAAGGGTGAACTCTCCCAAGCTAACAACGATATGGTTTTTTATAATGATGTATAATCAAAATGTTTGCTTGCTCCACTGACAGATTTACTTCCGACACAAAAAAGCACTTATATTTGTTAAAAGAAAAAAGTTCCATTTTGATGACTTTCACCTTGGCTCTTTTGATGTTTATCTAGTGTACAAGTATTGAAATTCGGTTTTTAATGGGAAGCTTGTTACAGAGGTTGGGAAGACCAGTCATCAGAAAGCCAGTTTTATACTTGAGAAATATGATCACATTAATCTATATTTCCAAGTCATGCCGTGGAAGTTTTAGTTATTATCAGTTCAATAAACACTGATTTTAATGTATGCATAGATGCCAACTAAATGCTTACTTTCAATTATGAAACTAACAATTTTTATTTTACTTTTTTTTTTTAAAGATGGGGTTTCACCATGATGGCCAGGCTGGTCTTGAACTCCTGACCTCATGTGATCCACCCACCTCAGCCTCCCAGAGTGCTAGGATTACAGGTGTGAGCCACCACGAATCATTTAAGCAATGAATAATGTAAACAAATCCAAAAAATATAAAACTCTACCATAGTAAGCAGGCTGAAATATAAATACCTGGAAGATATGAAGCATTTATCATTTTTAGTTAAACATCTGCTTGACATGAGAAACTCCTGAAGGGGGCTATGGTGAAAGTTCAAAATATTAATTATATGAGAACTAATATTATTAGTTTCAATGTTTAATATTTATTAAATATTATCATATACATATTAAAATAATGATAGTATAGGTATATAATATATAACAAGTATGATATATTTCTAATTATATATTATATATAATGAATGAATTATATGCTTTAATTATATGTTAGTCTATATAATACAAATAATATAATTATTATTTAATTTACTATTTATTATTTTTAAATTCAAACATTTTCTCAGTTGTAAGAAAATTAAGCTCCCAGTAAATTCAAGGGGATTGTGTTAACAGAAAAGATGAAATTCTGGCCTAAGAAACCTTACGTATTACCTCTTGATAGCAGATGTTATCTCTTTACTCTCTCCAAATTCCTGGCGATACGCTCCACTCACCATTCGGTCATTAGCTTTATGTTCACCAAATACCTTTTTCAGGGCATCTGTGATTTCTCCCACTGTACATCTAAAACATTAAACGGTGGTTCCATTAACTTCATTATTTTGTGATAAAGATATTTGTTTACCATAATATTCAATATAATTAGACATTGCCACCTAAGTAAACAATAAACTGTAAAAATGTAAATAAGAATGTTTTTAATGTATTATGAAAGTGTCTCTTCTGAAAATACTTATGGAAAATGTATTCTGAATGCCTTTATGTACCCAATTCTCTTTTCAACATTTGTCAACCAAGAAATGACTGAATGACTTAAAAATTATATATACAGACAAGTACCTGAAGGTTGCTGTATAATTCACCACTTAACAACTCAAATGGATAAAAGCAATACTCCCATAAATATTTTTTGATAAGAAGTAAATCTTTTAGCATATTCCATCCATTTGTTCACTAACTCATCAAACATTAGCTATGTGTCTAATATGCACCATATATTACTATATTTCTATATCTACTAGAGCAATACAGTAATAAATGAGACCAAAGAAAAAGTGCTTGTTTTTATAGACCTTAATATCTAGTCAGAGGAAGCAGATGATAAACAACCAAGTAAATTAGTAAGATAATTTCATAAGGTAATAAGTACCATAAAAACACTAAACAAGGCAAAGATGGAATGCGGTGTCTGGAAGAACTATTTTAAAGTTATTGAAGATGTGAAGATATGACTTTTGAACTAAGATATAAATTATTAAAAGGGGGATCCCAAGGGAATATAAAAGAGTAAGAGTGTTTGAAAGAGAAAGTACTAAAAGCAAAGGCTCTGAGATGTACGAAAATATGTTTTGTGGTCTCAAAATAGAAGGGCGTTAGGAACACAGTATAGTGAGGAAAGCAGTATAAGATGAGGTCAGAGAGATGGGCAAGAGTCACAAGGTAAAAGCAAAAGTAATCTATTTAATGATATTCCATATATTGGGAAAATTTTTTCCATGGGTCACTTGTTTTTCTGCACATACTGTGAAGCAAAGCACTGATGGCTCTTTACTCTGAACTCTTTTTTCAAAGATGTCTGTAGAGTGAATTGCCTTAGGAGACAGAGATATTGACTACCTCCAGAGCAAAGGGTAGGTTTGCTTTCTGTCCAATATAATAATGTTTCCCTCTAGAACAAAGAGGAACCATGCTTATTAACCATTATAAAAGATTCAGAACCCCTAAGCTCAGGGTTCCTCTCCTTGAATGTAACCCAATACACTGCACATGAGGTATCATGCAGCAACGTTTTCTCAACACTCACATCAACTGGGGACCAGAAGAACTAATCCAAAACCTGCTGATATTATGGCTACTAATACTGCAGTAATAAACAGGCATTAGGTTCTGACTCAGGGATTGCATATCACCAACCAGCACCCCACTATACAGGATAACTTATTAGCTTGCAAAAAAGGTAGTATTTCAGATCTCTTCTGATTCTTAATAATACAATGAATTTATATATCTATTAATATATATAACAAGATAATTTTTAAATGACAACAAATAGAAAATAATAACAATTAACATATTAAGTGCCATATTCTCTTCCAGGAACTATTTTTAATGATTTTGTGTCTTCTCATAACAATCCTATTAGATAGTAAGTACAAAAAAACTTCACTTTGCCAAATATCATGCCTACAGTCACACAGAAACAGACATAACATGAGATCAGATTCATGTTTTACTCAGCCTTTTCTAAATGCAGGATGACAAAAGTTAGGAGATAAAGGAGCTTGTTAAGGGTTACAAAGGCAAAAAGTTTCAAGAAGGAAAAAGTGGTCGGTAATGTTAAGTACTGTAGAGAATTCGAGATATGAACTAAAATTTTTCCAGAATATCAGACAAAGAGGAGGTCAGTACAGTAGTGAACTTAGTAAGAGCAATGATATTACAGTAGAAAACCAAGTGCAGTAGACCAAAATGTCAACAAGAGATAAAAGACTGGTAACAAGAAGTCTTCTACTTCTAAAAGAGCACATGGCTCTAATGACAAGGGAAGAAGGACTGGGATGGGGTGTGGGGAAGTTGGTTACTCTTCTGGTTGCTTCATGGTTAAAAATAATTCAAAAGCAATGGGATGACAAGTTTTTCCTATCAATTCTCAGATTAATGTCCCCCTGCCCACCCCAAAGCCATTTTAAATGGTAAAATATCAAGGAAATAAGCATAATCCTGCTGATATACTTGAGAGTCCAACACACTTCAACCTGCAAGTCAGTGAAATAGATTCATTTTAATAGTTTCAAAATTCCTCACAATAAAATATACAATTATTAATATATTTCACTCAAAATACATGAATGTTTGACATACAGAGATTTTAAAATAATAAGAATTAAATTTATTATGGTTATTATTTTCTTTAGGGCTCACATGGTTTATAGGATCAACCTTTTATTTAAGTATACTCTGAAAAGCTGAACTGGTCAACTTTTGATGTTTGGAAATCTCCAATCTTATGTATCTCTACCTTGCACGAGATGCATCCACTGCAAGAGCCAGGATGTTTCCATCTCCACTAGCAGCACATTCAGTTAGTGCAGCAAGACAACGTTCAGCCAAAGCTTGATCCCTGCTGGATTTGATCTTATGGAAAAAGTCAAGGAAAGGAACAATTTACATAAAAAGAGAATAAAACAGATCACGAGATTAAACCCTGATACATAGCATATGGCAATTTTTTCCATAATCCTAACTCCAAATATAAGAGAAAAAAATTAAAAGAATAATATGCAATCTAGGAATTTCATTCATTCAGTTCCTTCATCAATCAGGATTTCCTAAGATAATATTACATTTGGTATAACCCTAACAAATCAAAAACATGCAAGGCAATAATATTGCTGACCTTCCCAAGTAGCACATACCACTAGGCTTTTCTAAAGTAGCAAGACATTGAAAACAAGTGGGTCTTTCATATGAAGTATTCTGAAGGAACACTAAAGATTAATAGTGACAAGAAAAAAATAGAAACTTGAGAATATTTTAGTTATATTTTGTTTCCTTTAGATAAATAACAATATATTGATAATAATATGTATGTATATTGCTGTGTTTTTATTTTAAAATAATCCCAAGAGGGAAAGAGAGTCTAACATAAAGAAATACAGTGAAAAGCATGGTAAAAACAAAAATAAAAACTTTTCCCCAGCTCCTAACTCTGCTCTGCCAACAATTTGTCAAAATAAAGTTGCATAAATCAATTTTTTTACGAATTATACCACCTGTATAAAAGAGTCTAAAATATGATACTGTTCAAGATGCCACTAATATTACATAGTATCTATAAGCAGAGGTGGTACAGAAAATTTACACAGTTATCCCTCAATATCTGTGGGTGATGGGTTTCATAACCTACTGCCCACCCTATCTACAGATATCAAAATTCAGGGATTTTCAAGGCCCTTATATAAAATTATGTAGTATTTACATATAAGCTATATACATTTTCTTGTATACTTTAAATCATCTACTTATAATTTCTAATACAATGTAAATACTACATAAATAATTGTTGTACTGTATGGTTTAGGAAATAACACGAAAAAGTCTGTTCATATTCAGTACAGATGCATCCATTCTTTATTTCTAAAATATTTTCAATTCATTATTGGTTAAATCCATAGACATGGAACCCACAGATATGGAGGTACAACTATATTTAGGGTAACAAAAAACTCAACTCCAAATTTCCCATAAAAATGCTCATTTTTCTTTATCTTTTATTGGAGAAATAATAAACACATAAAATACAAGAGAAAAATAAAGTAAATATTAGAGTAAATAAAGAAGTGATTTGGCACAGGGAAGTAGGGTGCTATTGTAGATATTGGATCACTGTAAGCTTCTTAGATACAGTGACATTTGAGCAAAGTTCTGAGAATTAATTATACCTTTTCTGGTTTACCAAAAAACTAGTAATCCTTAGATTAGGTAGTTTGCTATAATTACCTCAACAACAGATTACTAAAATTTAGGGAGTGAAAATACATGCTAAAATTAATTAGGGTTGAGGATTACAGAAAAAATAATTCAATATAAACTCACTGTTGAGGTAGTTCATGTTTTTTGTTTGTTTGTTTGTTTGTTTTTTAAAAAAACACCACAGGTAAAATATTGTTAAAACTGTGGTTAAAAGGAAAACATAAGAAAATATAAACTTGAGTTCATTACTGAAAAGAGCTCACAGTATTGCAGCAGAAATATATTTTGCTATAAAAATATCTGATTCTAGCTATGAAAGTTAATTTTTATAATAGAAGAACTTTGATTTGGTGATGGTCCTAAGAAAATTCAAAACTAGGAAAAAGTTACATCATAATATCCATTTCCCCTAAACTGGCACTAAAGTCAAAAAGCCTGCAGTCAAATCCCAGCTTTCTCACTTATTCTATAACCTTAAGCAACTAAACGAGACTCTCCAATCATTGCTTCCCTCATCTGTAAATGGAAATAAAAACAGTAACTACCTGTTAAATAAAATAATACACAAAAACAATAATAATTCAAGAAAAGCATTTAGTACAGTATCTGGTACATAGTAAGTGCTCAATAAATGTTAACTATTACTCCTATATTGTCATTATTGAATTTCTCTCTGTTGCCCAAAATAAGGTTTACATCATGTATGATAAATGAAATCCCTCGGGCTATGAAGATACAGAGTTAATAAGAAAAAGTGTAAGAGAGGAGAAGGGTTTACAAATATCTATTCGATTTTTACAGATTGAACTAAAAAAAGTCATATATTAAACAATCTCAGGAAAAGTGAACAAAGAAAAACCATTAAATTTTTAAGCTTTCTACCTTGGAAATAGGAGTAATTACAAATGTCAAAGATTAAGAGGCCGAAGTAGCTTAATACAACAAAAATATATAGGTTACAACAGTGACAATTAATTTGATTTATTTATTTTAGTATTTCATATACTTTGTACCAACTCAGTGACAAACTAAAAATAAGAAGAAAATACAGTACTCTAGTGTCAATCAAAATAAATAAAGTTTATTATAAATTGTAGCTTACTAAAACACTGCCAAATATAGTCGAATTTTAAAAATCAAAAAGTAAGTAATTACTTCATAGTAGTATCAGATGCCATCATTCTAATGAAAGAAATTATAATAAGAAGCCCTGGGTTCAAATACTAACTCTAAACTTTATTCTATGTTTAACTTTGAATAAGTTATATAATCATCTAAGCCTTGGTTCTAATCTACAAATTGTGGAAGGTATTTTTATTGTAGTGTGATTTTTAATAACAACATTTAAGTTTCACAGAGGTAGATATCATGGTTTAAAACAAGGTTTTGCTTTCAACAGACTAAGACTGAGTTCTGGTTATCTAATTATTTATCTTGAGCAAGTTTCTCAATGCTTTATCTTTAGTTCCCTTATATTTGAAATGATGGAAAATAATACCCACCTCATGCTGTTGTAAGGATTAAATTAATCAGGATAATTTAAGAGCTTAGCAGTGCCCAGAACACAGAAAATACTAAAGAAACAAACAAAAAAAGCTATTAATACCTTCTTAAGTTTTTCAATCTGCCTGTTTCGCACTGAAGTATTATCAATTGCCAGAACTTCCACAGCATCTTCTTTTTCCAACTGGTATTTATTTACTCCAACGATTACTTCAGAGCCTGGTAATTTCCCAAAGAAAAATTTCATTCGCAAATAATTACCTAATTCTAATGCTCTGGTTATGATGTATTTTCCTTATAAATTTAATGTCTTTAAGTAGTATTCTTAATTATTAATGAAATTTCAATATCAGCAAATCCCAATATGGGAATGGGGTGTGAAAGGAAAGAAGGGGCATATGTCAGAGTCTCTGTAAGAAAGACTTTCATTATTTTACCAAATTATTAACATACACTTTCCCATAATTTCTAATAAACCTTCTAACACTTCAAAATAAAAACAAGAGAAGTTGCCATAAGGTAGAGAATTAATACACAGTAGCTTTTCTAATATTTTCTTGAATTCAGCCAATCACTTTTAAACAAAATAAATAACCCTTCTACAATCTGTAAGTAGTAAATCAAAATTACAAAGATACTTCCTTACATGATAAAGAATATATTTTACCTCTAACTACCAGATTATTACTCTTATATAAAACATTCCACACCTCCTACCCCTGGTTATACTCCTACATATTTCCTTCATAGCACTTATTATGATCTATAATTCTTTATTTACTTTTTCATTTTCCTCTCTTTTACTAGACTGTAAGATCTGTGTGCAAAGAGGTCATGCCTGTCCTGTTCACAGTTGTATGCCCAGACATAGAAAGTGCCTCATATAAAATAAACTAAAAAGGTATTCGCTGAATGAATACTCCAATGCAGAGAGCACTGTGATCTTCAACAGCATCATCTTCAAAATGTTAATGACATCTACCCACAAACATGTACATATATACAATGGGTAGACATCCACACACACTTTGTACTTATGCTTGTCTGTGTGCATCCATGTATGCAAAAATACAAACACAGATATATTTAGATATAAGTATATGATAAAAAGTTTACCCAAGTTCCATTTTTATTATTTTTGTTTTATTAATTATACATGCTATCTTCAAACAGAAATAATTTTCTTTTTAAATGCTGTATTTCACATATGAACTTTCTCACTATCTTACCAGAATCAATTCTAGCTTGTCTTCGGGCAGCACATTCTTCAATTCGAAGTTTAGGTATTCCCTCAGCTACAGCTTTGGCCATTCCACCCATTTCTTCAATTTCATTAATGAGCTAAAAATAAAAACATTAACAAAACTAAAAGAGAATATTAAAAATGTGTATAAACTATATAAATTTGTTATGACCGTTACATAATTACTAATATTAATAAAATTATAAACTATCTGTTAATGCTCCATAAGAACAGAATTAAATAAATATCAAAGTCATTAATTAGAATCTGTGTGTTTATAGTTACTTGAAAAGACAACAGAAAAATTAACAATTACATGCTGAAAAACACAAAACCTCTTAAGTCTTAAGAGAAAATTAAAGACAACATCAATTCTCTAATCTTTATTTTTAGTTACATAAAATTTTCATAATTACATAAAGTCTCTAAGAAAAATTTTTTTTAAATGCAATTACTTTTGATTTTGAGCTGCAGAGAAACAATGTAACCTCATATGTAATGAAATAAAGGAACTTTTAAACCTTCAATCATAGCTTCATATACGAAGACAGAAAACAGCAGAATGTTATGTGACTTAGCAGAAAGGATCAAGGTGAACTTGCTTTTCCCTGATGAATTCAAGAAAGAAGAATCTGTATTGGATTCTACAGAAGTGTAAAATGAGAAGCTAAAAAGAAGAAGACAGTTTGGGAGTTGCAACCACCCCTCTCTCATTGTCAGGAGAACCAAAATTTACTACTGTCTACGGAAAATGAATTCAATATGCAATGAACTATCATAACACCAAATCACAGAGAGAAGTAAGGGTAAAATGTCTTACTGAAATAAAAGCCTATACTCTGACTAAAGACTAAAAACAAAAAGCACAGAGAGGAAACAGAAACAATACAGGATGCAGAAGAAAACTTCAGAAAATATGATGAATTCAGAATAAAAAGGGATTCTACACTAATGAAACAAATTAATATGACATTAATTATAAGGGGGAAGTTAGAAAACAAAAGTGAGTTCCATGAATTTAAAGTATAATAAATGAATGTAAAAATACTTAAGAGACATAGAAAGTTGACAAATCTTTAAGAACACTGAATAAAAAGGCAAACAGATGTACTGTAGAAAACATAAGAACATCAGCATATTATTGAAGGAGGTCTGTAGGTTATGACTAAGAGTTCTAGAAAGAGAAACTTTCTAGAAAATTTCCTAGAGCTATAAAAATATATTTTAAAAAAAAGGTGAGATGAAAAAGACCCAAGGTTCAGTACCATGTAGGAAAAAAATACACCAAGTTATACATCAACACAAAAAATAAAGAGGTCCCAATGCTTCAGAAAGAAAGATCCTGAATGAGAATGGCATCAAATTTTTTATCAAAAACATTGAAAGCCAGAATAAATATCTAAAATGAAAAACAGATTAATGTTTATAAACTTGCTTATGAATTTCCTGAATGGAAATAATGTCAAACTTAGATTACCAATCAAGTATAAAAATAGAATAAAGACATTCTCACACAGGCAAAGTTTCAAATAATTTATCTCGCATGCACCCTTTTTAGCAGGTTTCTGTGGGATGTACTTGCAAATAGCCAAGAGATAGACATGGGATTTAGGATTCAGAATTCAACATAGGAGAAATGAAAATATTTTCCTAGTATAATGGCAAAGAGGAATGAAAGAACAGCAGTAGTGAGCAGAACTAGAGAAAAAAACATTTTAAATCAAATGAGAACATTAGAAGATTTCAGAAAAGATTACATTGAGATATAATTCTATTGGCAGTAAGGGAGGAAAGAAAGAAGGGGTATTAATCAGCCAAAATCTAAGCTACACTACTAGGAAAGCAATAGATAGTGTCTAAGGTCTCATGAACAATGTTTATTTACAGTTGATAAAATTAGAAGAAACCGTATACATATGATTTCAAACTATGCAGATAAAAATAAGCAAAGTATGTATCTTACTCCAGGAAGCAGGAGAAAAAAAGTAGATCTAAAACTGCTGTTTTTTGTAAGCTTTTTTGTTTTTTGTGTGAGCTGTCTTTTTAATTCTTTGAATAAAATAATACGAATGCAAATGGATTTTTAAATGGATTCAGTTTTGAAAACTATAAAATCAAATCTGAATTTCCCTTTTTTGGCTAACATTGTGTAAACTGTGATATAAATCTGTAAGTTTATGATTTATCAATTTAAAATCTATAAATCTCAACTTATAAGTTTTAAAATCTATAAATCTTTATAAATCTGTAAATCATGAAAACAAAGTTGCAAAGTGGAAAAACTTACCTTTAAGGCAGCATCATAAACATCATTTGTGAGAGACTCCATCATATAAGAACCTCCCCAAGGATCAGCCACTTTGGGAATCCCAGATTCTTCCTGAATGATGATTTGTGTGTTCCTGGCAATTCGAGCACTTTTCACTGTTGGCAAACCCAAAGCTTCATCAAAAGAATTTGTGTGCAAAGACTGAGTCCCTCCAAACACGGCTGCCATTGCTTCTATTGCAGTACGGACAATATTATTGTAAGGATCCTAAAATATTTGATAAAAACAAAAAGTCAAACAAACAGGTGATAGATATTGCAACTATAAACAGCAACATGATTAAACAGCAACTGCTGCATACTTGCTATGTCAATTTCCATATTAAGCTTCAAAATAGCAAATAAATTTAGACAAATTAGTTTAGAAGCCAGGATTAGAAGAGTTAGAGTTGGTGTTTTGTGCTTAATCTTCTCTTAAGTGCTTAATCTTCTCTTAAGCACTAAAAGATTATCTCTTACAAATTATAATTCACTCTCTCCTAATTATTTTGGCTACCTCACAGTATCTACCACAATGATATGTACAAAACAGGCACTGAATAAATGTTAATGAAACAGATGAACAATGAACTGAGATATCGGAAATTGGAGTTCTAGTTTATTGTACACCTAACTGTAATTTGGGCAAGTCATTAGATCTCTCTGAACTTCAGTTTTCTTAGCTGAAAAAAGAAGCAGGTTAAAATAAAATTGATTATTAAAGTTCCTTCCAACCCTAAAAAACAAAACAAACAAACAAAAAAAACAAAAAAAAAAAAACTCTATTTCTCCATTTATAAGAACCTGAAGTTATATTTCATATAGAGTATAATATAGAGTATAATAGTTGTTATTCAACATTTAAATTTATAAAAAAGCAATGTAACTTTGCACATATAAATTATTTTTAAATATATCAATATGTAAAGAGAACATGTATAAAAACAAGACCTTCACCATACAATTTTAAAGAGAACAAATTTAATTACCCAAGTAAAAATAGTCACTTTAAACAGTTTGTTTGCATGTTGCTTAAACATATAACTGTAACACATAAAATATGTATGTGTATATTGAATTATTTTTAAATACGCAGTTTTATGTTAAGAATTATAACTCGGCCGGGCGCGGTGGCTCAAGCCTGTAATCCCAGCACTTTGGGAGGCCGAGGCGGGTGGATCACGAGGTCGAGAGATCGAGACCATCCTGGTCAACATGGTGAAACCCCGTCTCTACTAAAAATACAAAAAATTAGCTGGGCACGGTGGTGCGTGCCTGCGTGCCTGTAATCCCAGCTACTCAGGAGGCTGAGGCAGGAGAATTGCCTGAGCCCAGGAGGCGGAGGTTGCAGTGAGCCAAGATCGCGCCATTGCACTCCAGCCTGGGTAACGAGAGCGAAACTCCGTCTCAAAAAAAAAAAAAAAAAAAAAGAATTATAACTCTTCAAATTATATGAAAGTATTAATGACTTTTGCTTCCTCCTCATGATTAAATTTCATTTACTTTGTTTTATTTTTATTTATTTATTTATTTTTTTGAGACTGAGTTTTGCTCTTGTAGGCCAGGCTGGAGTACAGTGGTAAGATCTCAGCTTACTGCAATCTCCACCTACCAGTTTCAAGTGATTCTCCTGTCTCAGCCTTCCAAGTAGCTGGGATTATAGGCAGGCACTACCACTCCCGGCTAATTTTGTATTTTTAGTAGAGACAGCGTTTTGCCATGTTGACCAGGCTAGTTTCATACCCCTGACCTCAGGTGATCCACCTACCTCAGCCTCCCAAAGTGCTGGGATTACACACGTGAGCCACTGCACCCAGCCTTGTTTACTTTTACAAAAGTGTTTTAGCACTAAACGGAAGATAGTATGTAAGTGATTTTACATTGTTAACCACTAGAGGCAATTTTATTTATTTATTTATATTATGTATGAATACAAACATAAGTATATATTATGCTTCAGAATATTTATGATTTTCAAATATTAACAGATTGGTTCTGAAATTTATTTCCTGGTTGTGCCACATTGCTCAGAAAAATATGTATATATTTACATATGTATATATATATATATATATATACATATACATACATAAATAAATATATATACATATACATATATATAACTTTATTAAAATTCTACATTTTAAATTATATACACACCTGCTCAGTTAGTGACCATCCAGATGTCTGACAATGTGCCCTTAGGAGAAGAGATTTCGAGTTTTTAGGCTGAAACATTTTCTCTATTAAGTGAGCCCAAAGTCTTCTACCAGCTCTCATCTTTGCTATTTCCATATAGAAATTCATCCCAATTCCCCAGAAGAAAGACAACCTAAAATAGTAATGTTAGATCCAGAATTTAATTAAAATTAACAATGTAGAACAGAAAATAAAACTAATTGTATCATACACTAGAAAATCAAGGTCTATATTTTAAATTCAAACAACTTAATTTGAATTAAGATCAGTGCATGTATATTTAAGTAACTTTAAATCTAACATAAAATTACAGTTTTATGCATGTGGAAGAAATTTTGTTTCAGGTAAGAATTATTCACTTTGCAATTGGTTTTCTTTAAGAAAGAATCTCTTCTTGTGTCCTTCATTAAAGAAAGATTCAATTTCTTTAAAAAAATATTTTAGGAATACTCAATATGTAAGAAAGCAGTCACCTATAAATGAAATAAAAAAACAAATTTGCTCTATTTAAATAGCAAGAAAGTGTTCTGTAAAGAATGATTGTGCATTTGGTCTAAACATATACTTCAATTTGTGCCTTCCACCACTCCCTTTATCTTATATTCCGTACTGATTTAAACATTTATGCTACTTGTCTCTTTCTAAAGACACAAGGCTTGCAAATCCATTCCTGATACATATTTGGAAGGTTTTGTTTTGGTGTGGTTTGGTTTGGTTTTGAGACACAGTCTTGCTCTGTTGCCCAGGCTGGAGTGCAATGAGGCAATGTCAGGTCACTGCAACCTCTGCCTCCTAGGTTCAAGCAATTCTTGTGCCTCAGCCTGCCAAGTAGCTGGGATTACAGACAAGCACCACCATGCCCAGCTAATTTTTGTATTTTTAGTAGAGACCAGGTTTTTGCCATGTTTGCCAGGCTGATCTTGAATTCCTGGCCTCATGTGATCTGCCTGCCTTGGTCACATGAAGCACTAGGATTACAGGGATGAACCACCATGTCTGGCTTTGGAAAAAGTTCTTAACACAGCAGTTCTCAAATATTTTGACGTCAGTTTCCATTTTCACTCTTAAAACTTCCTGAAGATTCCCAAGAATTTCTTTCTTTATTTGTATAGTATCTATCAATATTTTATTTACTAGTTCATTTAAAAGAAACAATAAGGAAGGGCACAGTGGCTACTACCCAGAATCCCAGCACTTTAGGAGGCCAAGGCAGGAGGATAGCATAGCTTGAGCCCAGGAGTTTCAGACCAGCTGGGCAACACAGGGAAACCCCATCTCTACAAGAAAATTTTAAAATTAGCCAGATATGGTGGCACACACCTGTAGTCACAGCTACTTGGGAGCCTGAGGTGGGAGGAAGACTTGATCCTAGCAGGCTGAGGCTGCAATGAGCAGTAATCATGCCATTGCACTCCAGCCTGAATAACAGAGCAATATCCTATCTCAATAATCATCAAATCACATCAAAATAAACCCACAACATATTAACATTAGTAACATTTCTTATGAAAAATAAGTTTGCCTCTTAAAAATATATATAATAAAAGCATCATTCTTTTACATTTTTGCAAATCTCTTTAATGTATGGATTAAGAGAAGACAGTTGGAGTCCTATAACTGTTTCTGCAATCTGTTGCAATAACACATACCATGTAGCTTCTGAAAAACACCACAACAAATTCTTGAGAAAATGAAAGCGAAAAAGGTAAATAAAGCTCTAATATAAGCATAAAAATAGTTTTGATCTCAAATACCCCAGAAAGAGTCTTAGCAATGCCCAAGTATTCTTAGATCATACTTCGAGAACTGCTGTCACAATAAGTAAACAAGTCCCTGGTATAAAGGAGCATTTCAGTAGGCCATGAAATATATTTCAGTAGGCCATGAAACATAGCTTCTGAAGGCAGAAGCTATGTTTTCTACATGTTGTATTGTCAGCATATTGGCTAATGTTTGGCATAGCAAAGCTTAGCTAGTGAATGCTATACTGACTGAACCACTGAATGACTTTTGACTTCCAAATTTAAATATTTCATAAACTTCATTTAAGTTTTTCCGTATTTTTCATATAACATTATTAAGGAACTGTTGTGAAACAAAATGTTTTCAACAGCACAGTGGATCCCAAAACATTACATTAAATAGTGCAACAGAAAAAAAAAAAAAAAAAAACATAATAGATGAATTCCATTTTCTAAAATGAAAAAGTTAGAAAAATCAAAGTAAAATTGTCTCAACATTATGTTTGCATTTTAATATAATTTGTTAAAATGTGCAACTTAATTGTGTTCTCCAAATAGCTGGAGACAACATATTCCTTGAATTTACAAAGAAGTATGGCCAAGTTTAATTCTAATTTTGTATTAAAAATAGTATTGGCTTTTTCTGTCATTATCACTCAGATAAAATACAAAAAAATCTAAATCTAGCTTGACATTTATATTTACAAATTCTTGTTATCAATATATAAAATGGTCCTATGCATTTCTTAATGTTGGAACAATATCTAGGTTTAATTTACTCACCTTGGTGCAAATTCATCAATTGAGAGGCCAGCTTGGAGTCCAGTTCTAGAGTATTCCAATCCATCTGCTAAAGTATAGGCCAGTTCCAGAATGGCATCAGCCCCTGCTTCCTGCATATGGTATCCACTAATTGAAATTGAATTAAATTTTGGCATGTGCTACAAAAAAAAATTATTACAGTAAATAAGTAAAAATATTAAAAGGTTCTATTAAATCCACTTTCTAAATGCAAATACTATTTTCAAATGATGTTCAACTCAAATACACTTGGTAGTTTATAATGTTAACAAAATATTTAATGCTTACTTGTTACATTTAATTTCCTTTCCAATTTAAATAGTTGGTCCATAAAACATCATCAGGACTGTACCTACTTTATTTTTCTGGTAGACAAGAATTTGTACTAACCATTCTTCTAAAAGTTTATATTGTGGAATTAGCTAGCTGAGGTTAGGAATGTAACCTTTGGCCTGAGAACTAAATGAGGCATTTTTAATTCCAAACGAAGGACTCTGACCTCTTAAGAGGTTGTAGACCCAAAACTTTGGGTTAATCTGCTGAAGATGTATAAATTTATTATTACTAGTTATTAATTTTCTACTTTGAATGAAGGCATTAAACATGAATAAGTACTCAGTATGAGAAAAAAAGGAAATGATTTGATTTTCACTAATATATGTTGAAACAAAATGGGATACAATACATGGCTTTAAAAATCAAAGATTTCAGTCTGATTTACTGTGACATTTAATACTAAGCCTATCCCACACTGATTCTTTCCACCACAATCACTACAAAAACTGTATTTCCACTATTCCCCTAAAATTTCATGTTAGGTAGAATACATCAAGCGTATCCTGCAGAGCCAAGAAAAACTATCCTTACCAAGAGTTAACCAAACATAAAATGCTTGCTAGGCAATGTTTGCTAGAGTTTAGAGATAATAGTAACTGCTAGGGTTGATAGAGATAAAAAGGGTTGATGAAGATTTTCCCTGTGCCATGGAATAACGGTCTAACTTTAATGTAGGTAAGGAAAAGAAGCAGATTGCTGGTAAGAAGCAAAGTGTGAATAATGGGGGAAAATATAAACAAACTGCTCACAGGAAAAGGAAGGAGGAAAATATGTTCCTGTGGAAGGACTTTTCCCATCATTCTTATTGGGAAAGGTGAGTCTAATTCAAGGGTGAATATTAGGGACCTCCTTGAGATTGCAGATATAAGTGATAAGTAATATCATCAAATTCAGCTTTTAGCAGAAATAAAGCTGATATTCTAATCCCCATTTGTCTGACACTAGTGTCTGCTTTACAACTGCATCTGAATTTTTGAGGGAAATTAAAAAATGTAAGTAAAAGACATCCCTGATTCTAACAATTATCAGAGTTAAATTTTAAGAATAAAGAAAACACAGTAAAGATCTATTGCCCAGATTCCTACAAGCAATGACAGAACATAAAATTAGTACATTAAAAACAAAAAGTAACAATAAAAACACATTCTAAATTTATATTATATTACTCACATTCAGTTTTTAAATTAGGTTGTAGCATGTTGTAAAAATTCCTACATTCAAGGAACTATAGAAAAAAACATAAGAACCACAAAGTATACCTTTGCTGTATATTCAAAGATGTCAGCAATAATTTTCATGGATGGTTCTGGAGGAAAAATGTATGTATTTCGAACCATAAATTCCTTTAGTATATCATTTTGGATGGTACCAGTAAGTTTCTCTTTAGGTACACCTTGTTCTTCTCCAGTTACTATAAAATTTGCAAGAACTGGAATAACTGCTCCATTCATAGTCATGGAAACTGACATATTTTCTAAAGGAATTCCATCAAATAGAATTTTGGTATCTTCCACAGTGTCAATAGCAACTCCAGCCATTCCAACATCACCACGAACTCGAGGGTTGTCTGAATCATAGCCACGATGTGTCGCCAGATCAAAGGCAACGGACAATCCCTGCTGACCAGCTAAATACATAAAGAAAAATAATGTAAGATTCAAGAATCTGGAATCAAAGTAAAATGATTAACACTACTAAAAATCTTCATTCATCTCATAACAGTATACTTTTATAACAACTATTTTTATGCTCATACATGTCAAAATAAATTTAAATAATGATACTTCACTTCTTAAGGGAATCAGCTTTTTCCCTTGTGCCAAAATACACAAATTTAGTTCTAGACCTCACTACAGGAAAGAATGAAAGAAACACAAATCTCAATTATCTCATTTCCATCTGAAGATTTGGTACTTGATTGAAATATTTCTAAAATTCATGAAAAGATGTGCTGTTCATATATGGTAAAAATAACTCATATTTGTATGCTTGCTTACTTTTTTGTTCTTTTATCTAATATGGTTACAACAGGATTCTTGGCTAGTCAAATATTCTGGGAAATAGAATTATGACAATCATACACAATTTTTAAATAACTAAAATAGTCTATACTAAAAATAAATAAGTTCAACCTTCCATGGGCGATACAAACTTATAAATCTACAAGTTTAGCATTCAAACAATATGATTTTATTACAGCTCAGAAAGAAGAAATAAGTTAATTTTCAGTGAATGAATGCCAGAATACACTGAAATATATTTGTACCATGTTATCACATTTACACTTTCTTTGGGCATCATTTAACCTATCTTCCTCTCCAATCCCTATCCCAACAATATTAATTTAACATTTTTCCAAGGCAAGGCTAATGTCTTCTTTTCTTCATGCAACTTCACCTCACCTAATTCCTTTTAAACAATGTGAATCTAAGTGTTGTTTTCTTTCAAAAATTTAGCACCGTATTCGAACTCACTTATCTTTTTGACCATAGAAGATAAAAAATACCCACTTTTTTTCAGAGTGTAGTCTTTAACTACAAAATTATAGAGTGAATATCATCTTTACAGAGATTAACCTTAAAAAAAGCCAACACTAGGAGGTAAATGTCTTACCATAAATATTATGTCTTACATTAAAATCTCACCCTTTATATTGTCCTTATAGAACTTATTGCTTTCTTCCACAGTGCTGAAGCCAGCATACTGGCGGATGGTCCAGGGCCTAAAGGTATACATGGTAGGATATGGTCCACGTGTGAATGGCTTCACTCCTGGAAGTTCTTCAGGTAAGTCCTTAGTATCTCTCTTGGAATACAAGGGTTTTATAGCAATCCCTTCTGGGGTGTGCCATATTAGCTGTTCTGGGTTTTTGCCTTTCAGCTGCTTTTTAGCAAGGGCAGCCCATTCTGGGTGAAGGGGCTCTTGCTGGTGTAGACGTCGTTTCCATATGAGCCTGGAGACTGATGATTCTTTCACTTGCTTCAGGTAATGAGGTGAAAGTAAAAAAAGCTGATTCTTAGCTCTTAACATGGTGGAGCATGGAAACACCCAACAGAAGCGAGAGCTGACCTAGAAAAAGAAACACAGTGTATAAACATTTAGAAGAGGGAGAGAAAATAGGAGCTACTGATTAGAATGAAACCGAAAAGGAAAAGGATGTATTCGTCTGATTTCATTTATTCCCTTTTCTGCTTCCTGTACCTGATATTTTATAACTTTAGCCCCTCTTCTCAGCAATTACTATCAGCGCTCTAGTTACAATCTTTTTCCTCAGTAGCCTCTTAACTGGTCTTACTGACCAATCTTCGCCCCCTTCTACTCCATTTTATACAAATCCATTCCATACAATGGCATCAATGTAAATATGACTATGTCACACTCCCTATGAAATTTTTCAAAGCCTCTGTATCATGTGGAAGATACACTATAGCCCCCTAATTAATTTTTTCATTCAAAATGCTTTTATTAAACATCAATTTATGACAGATATTACATTGGGTAATGAAGAAAAAAAGCAGTGAATAAGACAAGCAGGCATTCAAGGCCTTCATGAACTGGTCTCTGTTTCCCCCTCAGACTCATCTCTGCCTTTGTCCGCTTTATGCATTTTGTGCACTAGAAATACTGGATTACCACCTACAGTTTGTTATGCATATGTCAAAGTTTTGTGAATTTGCTCTTGCTCTTCCTTCTGCCTAAAATGTTCTTCTCTGGCTAATTCAGCTAAGGCATATCTCCAATTGGCAGTGTTTCTATGTGCCAGTAACATAGAAGGCTATAAAGACATCACATAGAGAAGCAATTTTAATCCTTACACTACCCCTCAGAGATAGGTACTATTATTAACCCCATTTTACAGATTAGGAAACTGAGGCACAGAGGAGACAGCATTGATTGGAACCTATGCAGCCTGTTTCAAAATCTTTGCATCTAACTAATATGCTCACAACTCATCCCAGAACCCATAAGGTGAGCTAAATGGCTTCTTCAGTAATCTACTTCTATACTAATTTATAAACTGCTCCAACATTAGAACTGTGTATTCCTGATATCTAGCATAGAGTCTTATACTAGGTGACTGGGTTCAATGTTAACATTTTGCAGTTGTGGAAACTGAGGCTCAGAGAAATAAAGTTGCTTAATCGAAATCCCACCCCACAAAGCAGTAAACTGTTCACCTGAATTCCTAAAACTTGTCAGAGTCACACAGCCTAAACATATATAGACTTTTGTTTAAAAAGATATTGAGATACAAACATTAATATATTCAGTATACTAAGTGTTTTTTATACCAGAAAAGGCAACAAGTAAAGTGAGTTTCAAATTCTGTTTTCCATACCACTTCTTATCAGTTTAGTAAAGCTTAAATGAAATCAATGCCACTTATATAGGGTCGTTAAACAAGAGACATAAACCACTGGTGAGAGTATTAACTATTTTAACTACTTTGGAAAGTAAACTGTCAATACATATGAAATGCTTCAGAAATGTTTGTGCCATTCCACTGAGGAACATAACTTCTGGGAAAGCTTCTGTAATAATACATAAAATAGATGTTCCCTACAGTTTTATTTGTAGTAGTGAGAACTTAGGAAAATAGTGTCTAATAATATATGAATAAATGAATTACAGCATATACAAATGATAGAATTTCATGTAGCTATTAAAATATCTTTAGAAAGCTGGCAAAACTAATCTCTGATGTCAGAAGAAGGGTTGCTTATGGTTGCTAGAACACAACAGGAGCAAGAGGGGAACTTTTGGGGGTAATGGTCTTGATCTGATTGCCACTTACATAGACATATTCTGTTTGGGGAAATTTATCAAATTGTACAGTTATGTTTTATGCAGTTTCCGTAAATACGTATAAGTAAAAAGCTAAAAATGTGTTATGCACAGTTTCCCCCAAAAAAGGGAAACAAACTCAAAAAGCAGTAACTGAAAGACTCAAGACACATAATTATAAATGCAACAGGTTCAACTATGTAAAAAGTTCATGGAACAAAATCTAACTGGAAACATAACAAAAAAAGAGGCTGTGTGCAGTGGCTCACACCTGTAACCCCAGCACTTTGGGAGGCCAAAGTGGGTGGATCGATTGAGGTCAGGAGTTTCAGACCAGCCTAGCCAACATGGTGAAACCTATCTCTTCTAAAAATACAAAAGTTAGCGAGGAGTAGTGGTGCGACTGTAATCCCAGCTATTCAGCAGGCTGAGGTACAAGAATCGCTGGAACCCGGGAGGCGGGGTTTGCACTGAGCAAAGATCATGCCACTGCACTCCAACCTGGGAGACAGAGCGAAACTCCATCTGAAAAAAAAAAAGAAAAAAAAAAAAACACTTCTTTTTTTTTTTAATATTGCACAATTTTTATTCTGTTAAATCCATGAGGTCCTTGTCATCCATCTTTTTACAAGCCATTTACTAGCTTAAAAACTGGGTGAGAAAAATAATGAAGCTACAACTAAACCTTTCCAATAGTAATCCTGTAAAAGGTAATTTGAAAACCACCTGAGAATTATTGGCAGGAAATATCACACCCATTTCACGTTGGCTTTCCTAAATCTGAACAACTAATAGGAAAAAGCCCCTTATAAGTGACTTCCTGAAAATCACATGTGAATTGGTGGGAGGCTGGAAACAGACACCATTTTTAGATAAAAACACAACTACTGTGGATGGCAATATGACCTCTCAATTTTCTCAGAAGACTATCAAGAGAGGCCTCAAGCATTCAAAGAAACAACATGCAAAGCAAATATGTTACTGACAACTAAAATGTGTTAAAGAGCAATGATGAATCCCATTCTCACACATCAAAAACAAATCAGTGAGAAAAAAATTCTGAACCAATAACTTTCAAGCTTTGGCTGTTGACATGTGATTCCACATTAGTACATCAAAAAGGTACTTCAATGTTCAATCAGCTGGGTTAGGAGATGGAAATATAGGGCATGAAAATTACATTTGATATTAGCATAAGGAAATCATTAAACACAAAATTATATGGGGAAAAAATCATCAAGTGGTTTAAAACTTTACACACATATGCTATCCAGGGCTTAGAGTTTTCCTAAGACCACCTTCTTTCTAGACAAAACTGAGAACGGGTTAGTCATTTAAGCTTTTATGCAAATTTAGACTTGTCTTTTCTGTTCTATCTCTCACCTTTGACCCGTTTACACACAGAAAATCACTTTTAGTCCCGCCAACTTTTACAAAAACCCTGACAATTAGCATAACCCACAACCCAGAAGGGAGGCAGCCATGGAGCAAGCGCATCCCTCTGGAATCGTACAAAAAGTGACCTCTGCCAACGGGAACACTTCGGGGTGGCCAGAGAAGGTAACAACAGGGCCCCTGAAGTATCACAAGCACCTTCTTTTCAGCGGTACCTCCGAATTGCGAAAGACGTCGCTTAAAACGAGAGGCTGGTTCAAAGGTGAAAATCTAAACCTAAGGAGAAGGCAGTGAGTGGGATCCCGCCACAGCAGAAAGGTAAAGAAGGCAGAAGGACAGAGGGGGAGAGAAAGGACAAAGCATAGGTGTAGAGGAGAGACAGGAGCCAGAAGAATGAGCGATCTGAAAGGTGCACGTCCTACTCACTGGCAGGCCTGTTTCGGACTCCGCCCTGGGAGGGGGCGGCTGGACTTCGGCGTCCCCCGCCTCACCTGTCAGAGATCCACACAGCCAGGCCTCCCCGCCCTCACCCAGCCCACACACCAGGCGCAATCGCCAGCGCCAGCTTGACGACTCCGGGGCGTGGACCGACACCGCCCTCCCCTCCAGCCAATCGAATCGCGCTCTGACGGGCGCGTTCCTGATGACGTTTAGGGGCAGGGTTAGACGTCTGTTTCCGCTTTCTTCCCGCCCACTTCCGGGTCTCCCTGGTTTATGAGTTTTTGGCGCGGATTACTCCAAGCGCGGCTTCCAGAAGGGTGCAAGAAGTTTCCATGGTGAGTCGCGAAATCCTTAACCGGCTAGGTGGGTCTAAAGTTGGGGGATGAGTTTTGAAGCAACGCATTTGTGGCAGACTCCGTGGGTTGTATTTGAGGAGCGCGAGGGGAGATTGCTCAAGGGGAAATGTCCGATGTCCTAAAAGGTCTGCGGTTAGGATCCTCAGATTGAAATATTTGTTAGGGAGGAGGGAGCAAAGCCATGAATACTTCCTCCATATTTCGCCTGAATCATTCTCATGCTCATCCTTACTGCTGAGTCTCTCGCGCAGGTACTTGTGAAGCCAAGTGCACCCTTGGACGTTAAGTGTCTGGGTTTTGCCAGGCGTCGTACTCGTTCTTGTTCCCACATAGAGATCTAAATTGAGATAATTGAGTCCCATGAGTATCAGCAAGCTGGTAAAGAAAACAAGACAACCTAGAATGCCTCCCTCTCTCCTAAAGCATATAATCTGGCGGCAAACTACTGTACCAGCCTTATTTCTTTTCACTCAGATACACATTAAAAGCCTCGCTGAGCTTTTTCTGTCCCTGAACACGCCAGTTGTTGTTGTTGTTGTTTTTCCGAGCTGTCCTGCTTTCCGAGTTTTACTGTTTTCCCTTGGATACTTCATTTTCCTGCTTTTTGGCTAAATATTTCAAAACGCCATAAAAATAATACGTTTTTCTATGAATAATGTGCAGACATACCTCCGAGATATTGTGGGATCGGTTCCAGACCCCCACAATAAAGTTAATACTGCAATAAAGCCTGTCACACGAATTTTTTGGTTTCCCGGTGCATACAATAGTTGTATTTACACTGTATTGTAACAGTGTATAACACTTGTATTTACACTGTATTGTAACCTGTTAAGTGTACAATAGCATTATGTGGAAAAAAAATACTTTGCATACTTTAATTTTAAAATATTTTATTGCTGAAAAAATGCTAACAATTGTCGCAGCCTTCAGCAAGTCCTAATCTTTTTGCTGGTGGAGGGTCTTGTTTGATGTTGATTGCCGTTGACCAATCAGGGTGATGGTTGCTGAAGACTGGAGTTGCTGTGGCAGTTTTTTAAAATAAGAAAATAATGTCCCGATGAATCTACAAGAAAAAAGAAAAAAAGTAAAAAAAAGAAAAGAAGGACGTTTGCACATTAGTTGACTCATATTCACTAAAGATTCTCTGTAGCATGCCATGCTGTTTGAAAGCATTTTACCCACTGCAGAACTTTTTTCAGAATTAGAGTAAGTCCTCTTAACCCCTACCATTGCTTTAAAAACTTAAGTTTATGTGATATTCTAAATTATTTGTTGATATTTCAACAATATTCACAGCATCTTCACCAGGAGTAGATTCTATCTCAAGAACTTTGCTTATTTCTAAGAAGCAGCTTCCTATCCACTCATTTTATCATGAGATTGCAGCAATTCAGGTACCTCTTCAGGCTATTTATTTTGCTATTTCCACCAGATCTCTCGTCACTTCCGTCACTGAAGTCTTGAACCCCTGAAAGTCATGAGAGTTGGAATCAACTTTTTCCAAACTCCTGTTGATGTTGACACTTTGACCTCCTCCCATGCATCATGAATGTTCTTACTAGCATTTGGGATGGTGAATCATTTCCAGAAGTTTAATTTATTTTGCCCAGATCCATCAGAGGAATCACTATCTAGGGCAGCTATAGCTTTACAAAATGTATTTCTTAAATAATAAAACTTGAAAGTCAAAATTATTCTTTGATTCATGTGATACAGAATGGGTGTAGTGTTAGCAGACATGGAAACAGCATTAAAATCCTTGTACATCTCTATCAGAGCTCTTGGGTGGCCAAGTACATGGTCAGTGAGCCGTAATATTTTGAAAAATCTTTTTTTAATGAGCTGTAGGTCTCAAAGATGGGCTTAAACTCCTCAGTAAACCATCCTGTAAACAAACATACTGTCACCCAGGCTTTGTTCTCCCATTTCCAGAGCACACACAGAGTAGATTTAAAAGAATTAAGGGCCCTAGGATTTTTCAGAATGGTCAATGAGCATTGACTTAAAGTCAACAGCCCCATTAACCCATAACAAGAGAGTCAGCTTCAAAAGACAGCTTTTGAAGCTTTGAAGCTAGGCAGTGACTTCTTTCTAGCTATGCAAGTCCTAGACAGCATCTCCCAATAGAAGGCTGTGTGTCTTCATTGAAAATCTGTTGTTTATTGTAGCCACCTTCATCAATTATCTTACCTAGAAGTGGATAACTTGCTGCAGCTTCTGCATCAGCCCTTGCTGCTTCACTTTGTGCTTTCATGTTATGGAAGTGGCTTATTTCCTTAAACCTCAGGAACCAACCTCTGCCATCTTCAAGCTCTTTTGCTGCAACTTTCTCACCTCTCTCAGCATTCATAGAATTAAAGTGAGTTAAGACCTTGCCATGGATTCGTCTTTGATTTAAGGAAATGTTGTGGTTCGTTTGATCTTCAATCCCAGACCACTCAAACTTTCTTCCTGTCAGTAATAGGTCTGTTTTGCTTTCTTATCATTCATGTCTTCACTGGAATAGCACTTTAAATTTCCTTTAAGAACTTTTCCTTTGCATTCACAACTTGGCAAACTGGCCCAGCTTTCAAGCTGTCTTGGCTTTTGACATACTTACCTCACTGTGCTTAATCATTTCTAGCTTTTAATTTAAAGTGAGAGATAATGCGATTTTTCCTTTCACTTGAACACTTAGAGGCCACTGTGGGATTATTAATTGGCTTAATTTCAATATTGTTGTGTCTCAAGGAATAGGGAGGCCTAAGGAGAGAGAGAGAGGCAGGGAACAGGCAGTTGGTGGAGCAATCAGAACACACACATTTACCTATTAAGTTCTCTGATATTGGCATGGTTTGTAGTGCCCCAAACCAATTACATTAGTAACATTAATCACTATAATAGATATAATAATGAAAAGGTTTGAAATACTGTGAGAATTATCAAAATATGACACAAACATGAAGTGAGCACAATCTGTTGGAAAAATGGTATCAATATAGTTGCTCAATGCAGGCTTGCCACAAACTTTTAGTTTGTAAGATAACAACAAAATTCAGTGTCTGTGAGGCCTAATCAAGTGAAACACAATAAAAAGAGTTAGACCTATATATTTCCACGCATATGCACAAACCAGTTTAAGATAATCATTCGCTCACTTGTCTCTTTTATAACATTTATAAATATAGCACATATGGTAATTATTTTCATGTCTGTTCCTACCTATGCACTATCACTAAGCAATGATTTCCCTTGGATCTAAGAATGGGACAAAATGTCTATTCATTTTTATATGCACTGCAAGTAGCCCAGAAGTGATAGAAACAATGTCTTTGTTTATTGAAGTCTTACTGTGTCTCAAATACTGTTCTAGGTGGTTTATATATTCTTTGTTAAATCATTTTTGCTTTACAAAACCCTTTAATGTTATTACTTTTATTAATCATTTTACTAATGGGGAAACAGCTAATTTACTTGCCTAAAGATATACAGTTAATTGTCAGGGCTAGATTTGGAGCTTGGATAATTTACTTTCTTTTTTCTTTTTCTTTTTTTTTTCTTTTTTTTTTTTTTTTTGAGGCGAAGTCTCGCTCTGTCAGCAGGCTGGAGTGCAGTGGTGCAATCATGGCTCACTGCAACCTCCGCCTCCGTGGTTCAAGTGATTCTTTCGCCTCAGGCTCCTGCATAGCTGGGACTACATGAGCGCACCACCACGCTGGGCTAACTTTTTTGTATTTTTGGTAGAGATGGGGTTTCACCATGTTGGCCAGGATGGTCGATCTCTTGACCTTGTGTTCCTCCCACCTCGGCCTCTCAAAGTGCTGGGATACAGGCATGAGTGCTGGCAGAACAATTTGCTTTCATCGCAGAACTACTCATAACCATGTGGTAGTGTTCTCAATCTGGGTTGATTTGACCAGAGGACATTTTGTAATGTCTGGAAACAATTGTGGTTGGCTCTATTTAGGGGCTGGAGGGATTCTAGCATCTGGCAGTCTATGTAGACCCACGTATGCTGCTAAACGTCCTACAATACAGGGCACATACTCTATAACAAAGAATGATCCCATTTAAAATGTAAATAGTGCGGAGGTTGAGAAACTTGGTGCTATGGTAGTGCCACAAGTAGGTGTCAGTGTTAACAGTACTTCTCAAACTGTGGTGAAAGACCAGTTTTGCTTTTTATTTCTAGTAAGTCATAACTGATACTTGTGTAAAATGCAATTAAAAATGAATTATTAGTCAAACTCCCTCGTGGTATAATGCCAGGAGAGAACTCTGATGTAAACATGAATATTGAGTAATACGATGTGTCAACAATTACAGCAAATGCACCACTTTGGTGTGTGATGTTGATAGTAGAGATTGTAGGGGGTGGGGGAGGGCAGGGATTATTCAAGAACTTTCTGTTTGTTTTGCTCAATTTTCTGTAAATCTAAAACTATTCTAAAAAGGTTTATTTTTTTAAAAAATGCTAATTAGTAGAAAAATGATATGGCAAAGACAAGACTTTTATAATTGGGTTCAATGTACATAAAGTTACTCTGCCAAATTGCTATAAAAGTTTTTAAATGATTACCTTCACTTTCCACATTGGAAAGGATTATGGCAAACAGTTTGAATGAGATTTGGAGTAGCACTAAATTACATGTTACTTAATAAAGAATATCAAGAAGAAAATGATTAATGGAATCAAATGATAAATAAATGCCAAATGAGACTGACCATAAAAGCCTAGAGACTTAGAAATGAAGTAGAATAGTTAAGAAGACTTTGAGAAGGAGGTGCCTCATGATCTGAGAGGGTGGGCAAAGACAGGAGAGAGCTGCTCAGGTAGAAGGTATAGTATATGTTTGGGAGGCAGAATTACCCAAAGTGTGTTTAGGAAATCATCAAATCTAGCTAGAGAGGGAGATTTGACTAAAGAGTAGAAGGAGATAAGTATGAAAAGCTAGGCAGAGTTAGGTTGTTAAGGACTGAAAATGGCATGGTAAAGAGTTTGAATGTGACACAGAAGGTATTGGGGTAAATTTTTTACTCACTTAATTTGTTCCAAAATTTGGGATTGGGAGGAACTAGGCAGGGCTTGCCCATGTCTTGTCCAAGCAGTGTGGGCTGCAGCATATTGACTTAGGTGCATGTACCTGACTGGCAAGTTGGTGCTGACTATTGGCTGGGAGCTCAGCTAAGACTTGCCTAGTGTTTCAGTTCCTCTCCATATTGGCCTTCCTCATATGGTGGTGGCTGGTTTATAAGAGCAAGTGTTGGCCGGGTGTGGTGGCTCACACCTGTAATCCCAGCACTTTGGAAGGCCGAGGCGGGTGAATCACTTGAGATCAGGATTTCAACACTGGCCTGGCCAACAAGGTGAAACTCCGTCTCTACTAGAACACAAAATCCTGTAATCCCAGCTGCTCGGGAGGCTGAGGCAGGAGAATCTCTTGAACCTGGGAGGTGGAGGTTACAGTGAGCCGAGGTTGTGCCACTGTGCTTCAGCTCAGGCAACAGTGCAAAACTCCATCTCAAACAAAGGAAAAAAAGGAGCAAGTGTTTCCAAGCAAGAGGAAGTCAAAGTTGATAGTCTCTTCATGTCTAAGCCAATAAACTAGAACAGAATCACTTTTACTATATTCTGTTGTTCAAACAGCTGCAGAGTTTGCCAAGATTTAGAACAAGGGAAAATAGGCCTTACTTCTTATTAACAATCATGAGAAGGAATGTGTACCATTTTTAATCTAAAATCTCAGCTATCCCTTGTCCCTTCACCTGGGTTCTTTTATTCGGTGAACAACACTTCTAGAAGAGACCTACAAGTGAAATTCTGTCATATGTTTTTTTAAGTAGGGGAAGTATAAGAGTGTAGATGTCAAGTTGAAGGAATTAGGCATTTTAGAAATTGAACACAAGACAGAGAATGAGTGTATGGTAAGGATCGCATTGTTCAAGAGCAGGGTAAAGTGATATTTTGACTTCCACTGCTTTTTGTAACTGGTCTGTCTGATATGTGGTTGCTAAATGTAGTTTGTGATCTTTCTTTCCCACTTTTTTTCCCCCCCAGTCTTACTGGCAGTGGGTGGAGGGGAGCTTGAAGCTTTTAAAATTTGAGAGTATAGATTTATCCAGAGTACCCTCTATATTGTCTCTCTCTAAATCTGCACATATATTTCAACTGTATCAGTATGATAATTCTGACTGTTTAGAGAAGGAATGATGAATAATGTATCTGTATATCTAGCTATGGCTAATATGTGTATATATATTTATGTGTGCATATACATATTTTCTAGGCATATATAGCTAATCTGTGAATATACATATTTCCTTGTATACTGTACCTAACTTCCAGCTACTTCTTATGGTCTAATGCTAGAATAAGCATCTCATTCCTATGTTCCTCTTATCAGAAATGAATTTGGTAATAAAAGAGGGAAAAGGAGTTACTCTAAATTTTATCAACATTCCCATCTCCAATCCCGTATCTGTTTTGTAATTTGTGAGAGGGCAGTGTAATCAGTACATTTATTTCTATACTCTTATTAAAATGCACATAGCCCAGATAAGATTGCAGTTTACATTCTTAGTACTGTCAGACTAACACATGAATTTCCACAAAATAGATTGACGATATAATCCTAAAAAGTGCCTCCTTCCATTTTTGGCAAAAAATTGAGTAATGGTAAATTTATTACTTAAAATAACAAGACCTAGGTTTTACTCTTTGAACTGATATTATCTGCGACCACTTGATATTTCTATTTCCTTGGATTTAAACATGGAGATTATGTTATCATATGATAGAGTTTAAAATAAAAAGTGCAAAAGCATTTTTAAATGATTTTCTAAAATCCATGCAAATGGAAGTTAATTTCTAGGAATGAAATTGAATTAGATATTCTTACTCTGACAAGAGTCAAAATTATTTGTTTTAAAATATGTTTGTTTAAAAGCATACAATCCTATCCCCAAACTTTTATTACAATTTTTTTTAAAAAAGAGAATTTAGAACATATATAGGGAAGATTTTTAAACAAAACATTGTGCAAGGCTTTAGCTTTTTTTGTATTCCTTTTATCTTTACAGGTTTGTGTGTGTTTTTTGTTTGTTTGTTTGTTTGTTTTTTTAAGCACTGTGTTTAGATCAAGATGTCTGGTAAAGCAGGTGCTTCCAAGAAAAACTCTCAACAGTTAAAAAGAAACCCAAAGAGAAAAAAGGATAATGAGGAAGTGGTGTTGTCAGAGAAAAAGGTAATGAAAATACTAAGTTTCTCATTTAGAACTCTTCGCCTGGGGCCAGGCACTGTGGCTCATGCTTGTAATCCCAGCAATTTTGGAGGCTAAGGTAGGCTGATCCCTTGAGGCCAGGAGTTCGAGACCAGCCTGGCTAACATGGTGAAACCCCACCTCAACTAAAAATACAAAAATTAGCCAGGCGTGATGATGTGCACCTGTAGTCACAGCTACTCGGAGGCTGAGGCATGAGAATTATTTGAACCCAGGAGGCAGAGGTTGCAGTGAGCCAAGATTGTGCCACTGCAGTCCAGCCTGGGCAGCAGAGTGAGACTCTGTCTCAAAAAAAAGAAAAACTCTTCAGTTGGAAATATTACCTACTCTATGAAAACAGGGTCAGTGGTACTACAAATTATAGCAGTTCATATCATTGTATCAGAGCTTTTGCAACATGATTTGCGAAGTTCTAATAAATAATTGTTTACTGCAGTTTCTAAAAATAAAATAAAAACAGTTGTTTACGGCAATTTCTAAAAATAACCTTTGACCATAGAATTCTTTGAGGAAGAGAGGGGTTATAGGGCAGTGCCAAGGTATTTAATGGGAAGATTAGAAATAAAGTGTACAAATTCTTACAGCAATTAAATGTTAAAAGGTGAGAGAATTTGTCATTTGGTGGAGATTTTTATTAACACAGAGGTCAAATAGTTTGGGAGGAATTAGCTTCTTTCTACCATAATTTTGACCCTCTCTTAAAAGAATTAATGGACTAATCAAAAAAATTGTTATGTTTTACCCTAAGCACTCGGCAATGCCTATAATGTTTTGGAGGTAAAGTATATAACACTATTTCATAGGCAAAGTGAACAATGATTCATTTAAAACATTCTTTGACACTGTATAAAATTCTGTTATTATCAGCATTGTCAAGAATTGCTTTAGTATATCCTCTGCCTGTGATAAACATATACCATTTTTTCTGTAGAAGTAGCAACATACAGTTTTTCCATCTGCTAGAAATTGTATGAATACTCTTTGACATATATAACAAATTATTCTAAAAGCAGTTTCTTTTTATCTGATGTTTAATTCTGTTTTATGTTTATGTGTGTGTTTTTCCCTTTAGGTTAGAAACACAGTGAAAAGAAATAAAAATCATCTGAAAGATCTGTCTTCTGAAGGTATTTCTTTTCTATTATCTTGTTTAACTTGCTTCTTTATCAAGCTATCTATATTCATGAAAAAAATTTCAGCATCTTGTTTATGAATTCTGCAAAAGATATTAATAACTACATCAGCATTTTTATAAGAATACGTACAAGTGGTTAGTCAGTTATTTTGGTCAACTGAAATTTTAGTTAGCACCTCTGGCAAAATATTGTGGAGGCTTCAATACCACTGAGTTGATGGGAACTAGAGAAATTCAGGCCCATGGCCTGAATTATTACTGATCTATGATATAAGGACGAATCCACTGATTGTTCTTTAAGACAAATATGCCTTCTGTTCTGTACAGATTAGTTTGGAACCATTATTATAAATTTGTTTTGAGTAAACTAGTTTGAAGTAGTTGTCTTTGGTTAAACGTTAGTGTTTGATGGAAAGATTCTCTGTGTCTCCTCAGCCAGCACTAGGTTTGGTCCTCTGGTTTTATACTCCCATAGCATACAGTGCTTTTTTTTTTCCTTTTGTATGTTTTGCACACCTATAATTTGTTCAATATTCCTTCTCTCCAACATTGATTTTTATGAGATCCAATACTATTTCTTTTTTTTTTAATCCCTAATAAGTAGACCAGTACCAACAGTATAGTCGACACTATGTATTTGTGGTTTAATTAATCTGTTTTGTTCCAGTTGCCATCCAACATTTGGAAAATAGTTTTCTAGTCTTCTCAATGAAATTTTCAAAGATTTTAGGCCATTTCTGAGAACAAAACTTTTCATATTAGGCTTGATTCTTCATTTAAAATTGTTTCTATTATCACTTGGTAGTATTTCTGTTAACTTACCAATAGAAAGCATATTCATATTCAACACCTGGGATGTTATAGCTGTGTGATAAAATAAACAGTATAGCTTTATAATATTTTGTTCTCATAATTTCATAAGCTTTTTTAGATTAAAAAATTCAGTTTTTAAGCAAAAACATGTAAAACATCTTGATTAATCAGAGCCTGTTCTATTACCAATGACAGGACAAACAAAGCACACTAACCTAATACAGGTAAAGGTAGCATCCAGCAAGAGAAAAACTTGGCAACCTCTTTCAAAAAGTAGCAGAGACCATTTGCAAACTATGATGGAATCAGTAATAATGTGAGTATAACATTTTTCCATTTCATTGTTTTAGTTCCCACTTAAGTGTTTCCTATGGATATTATCCTTTTAAATACTGCTATTTTAAGGTGACAGAGTATATTTCTGTTTTAGAAGAAGATATAATTAATGTGGTGGCATTTGCCTTCAGCAGAAAAGTCTGTTAATTTTCGAAACTTGGAATTCCATTGGTGAAATAAAAGCAAGAGTTGTGGCCTGACTTGCTATCAGTAAAATTTTAATTTATGTCAATAGGGATTCTTTAGGAAGAACATGAGTTCAAGTGACACTTTATATAGAAGCTACCGTACTGGAAGGGAGACAAAGAAAATAGGACAGAATTCTGCCATTGTGGAGCTAAATTCTGTCAGAAGAGCCAGGCATATAAACTGTTACAATACAGTGTAGCAAAAAATATATATAAGTAGATTTTTCTTATTGTACCTCTTTTTAAAGTGTCTTTAATATGAAAGGAAAAGTGATTGATTCTGCCTGGCTAGTGGGGAGGGGCACTTGAGAGAAATCAGAGAGAAAAGGAAACAGAGCATGTTTCTTTGTGTTTCAGACTATTTATTCACCTTTTTTTCTTTTCTAGAACAATTTTGAGTAAGAGTAGTAAAGAAAAAGAAGAAATACAATACCATCTCAACTTCCTAAAGACAAGGTAATACTGTAGCATAATTAAAATGGTTAAAACATAATTTTTAAAAACCTGACTTCTTCCTGTATTGCCAAACAGACACTTGTGGAAGGCAAGATATTTGTGTGTGTGTGGCTGTTGTTGTTGTTGTTGTTGTTTTGGGATGGAGTCTCTCACTGTCACCCAGGCTAGAGTGCAGTGGCATTATCTTGGCTTACTACAACCTCAGCTTCCTGGGTTCAAACAATTCTCCTGCCTCAGCCTCCAGAGTAGCTGAGATTATAGGTGCCCACCACCATGCTCAGCTAATCCTTTGTGTTTTTATTAGAGTTGGGGTTTCACTATGTTGGTCAGACTGGTCTTGAACTCCTCACCTCGTGATCCACCCACTTGAGCCTCCCAAAGTGCTGGAATTACAGGCATGAGCCACTGTACTCGGCCCAGTTTTTTTTTTTTTTTTTTAAAGAAGGTGAACAGCTTAGAAATATGTATCCTTTTCTAAACTGCTGCTGCACGCGTTTCTCAAATAAGTTTCAGGGAACTTAACAACAACCACCACACCAAAACCTGAAAATCACAAAATTCTGTCTCCAAAGTTCAATATTCTGTATCAGAATTTGAGAAAAATTTTGTCCACTTGAACTCCCTTCAACTTCATTTTTAATAATCTGAAGTTAATAGTTCATTGCTCTTATCTGTCTGATATTTATCCTATTGCAGTGTTTTTTCTTCATTTCATATTGTCAAATTTGTACTTTGTATAAATTTCTAAGATATTATTGTTCTTCATCTTATAGTAAATCACCCATGGAACTTCCTTTTCAAGAGTTCTTAAAAGGCATACGACTGCCCGCGATTTTTAATAATTACTTTTCTGTAGTATTTACACAACTTTTTCTTTTCATAAGAAAATGTTCTGCTTCCCAGTTTCAAGTTTGCCTAGAAATGTTTATGACCTATTTTAGGGAATTCCTTTGAGCACAAATTCTGTTTACTTTTTCTTTAAATATAATTTTCAACCCATAGCAGCCAAGTAGAAAGTGAATGGGATGGATTGGGTGGGGTTGGAGTTTGTTGAGAAAGGCTGAACAGATGAAACAAAGACTGCTAGAAGCAGGCTTGAAAGTGCTTAAAGGTTTAGCAGCCTATGATTAAAGAAGGAGGAGGATATTATGAAGATAATAAAGGAGCAAATATAAGTTTAATGAAAATATAGCTATTTAGGATTTTTTTAATATAGGACAAATACTAATGTTTAGTGTGTGAATGAAAATATTACATTACATAATAGTTGTTCATAGTGATAACCTTGGTTCATTGGAAAAATTATATTCAACAAATAGGTAGTCTCTTCATCATGTAGCAGCTATGGAGATAGATATTTCAAGGCCTGTTTCCTCCTTATTTTTACTTTCACAACTTGCTTTCTTTAAGTCACAAAGTAACCATACCCAAGATACAGTTATTTCTATAGATACAGCAAACTACAGCATTAGCAAACTGATCCTTATTGGAAGTCTGAATACATTCTTCTGTAGCAGTGTTTCTGAAAGTATGTTTGAAACACTTGTTCTCACAGATACTCTATGGATAAAAGTAACCCGTGGTGAATTATATTTGGGTACATTAGCTTGTAAGAATCCCTGCACTAAGTAAATCTATTTCATTTTCTTTAACCTAGCATCTCCCAAATTGCTATTTCTGGGAACTCATTTTCATATATTAGTCTTATCTCTGCTTTTGACTAAATGTTGGCTTCATTATTTTCATTTTTTTTTAGTTTTCAGTTCTTACTAGATTACTTCTTATATATATCACTTTAGCCTTGTGAAGAAAGAGGAAAAAGAAAACTCTTATCCCCTTAGCTTCAGTTAGAAAATTCTAGGAAACAGTTTCTGATTGGCCAAGCTTAGATGATATACACCTATCCTTGGTGTGATTTTGTGACAAGAGCTACCATGGGTATGATTGATATAAACTTGATTATATTCCTAGCCCCATGATCACACAGACAGGTTTGCTAGGCAAATAAAACTATCTGCCATTATAATTCTAAAGGAACATACTTTGGGAAAGTCTGCCCTATAGGAACAATGTTATAAGTGGTGATTAAATGTTGCTGATATAGTAGGACATATTCAAGGCATGGTTTTAGTTTCTAAGAGTAGTGAGACTCCCAGAAATCTAACTGCCATTTAGAACATTTGGAGCAGTGAATGACACTTCCACATAATTGATTTAATAATCATATAGAAGAAACTTCATAAATAAAAGATTTTAGTTAAGAAAATAAAAAACTTACCCATCTTAGGGTAAGTTTTTAAATGCCTAATGATATTTCTGAACAACTAGAGGTTGTCTTAACAGTTTAATGAGAATTATGATTTGTGGGGTTTTGCTGCCTACTTTTTTCTCTACAAACATAAACATTTTATTTGCAAACTATGCATTGAACAAAGGTCCTTATCAAGACTCTGTAAGGAACTTAAACAAATTAGCAAGCAAAAAACCAACAATCCTATTAGAATGTGGGCAAAAGACATGACCAGACACTTTTCAAAAGAAAACATATATGTAGCCAACAAACATGAAAAAATGCTCTCAACATTACTAATTACTAGAGAAATGCAAATGAAAACTGCAATGAAATACCATCTTACAGCAGTTAGAATGGCTGTTACTAAAAAGTCAAAAAGTAACAGATACTAGCGAGGTTGCTGAGAAAAGGGAATGCTTATACACTGCTAGTGGGAATGTAAATTAGTTCAACCATTGTGGAAAGCAGTTAGGCAGATTCACAAAGAACTTAAAACAGAGCTATCATCCAACCCAGCAATCCCATTATGGGGTATATATATATTTATATTCCTGAAGGAATATAAATTGTTCTACCGTAAAAACATATTCACACTTAATGTTCACCACAGAACTATTCACAATTGCAAAGACATGGAATCAGCTGGAATACTATGCAGCCATAAAAGAACGAGATCATGTCCTTTGCAGCAACATGATTGGAGCTAGAGGTCATTATCCTAAGCAAACTAATACAGAAACAGAAAACCACATAGGGCATGTTCTCACAAGAGGGAGCTAAACATTGAGTATATATGGACACAAAGAAGGGAACAACAGATACCAGGGCCTACTTGAGGGAGGAGAGTGAGGGTTGAGGAACTACATGTCAGGTACTATGCTTATTATCTGGATGAAGAAACAACCTGTACATTAAAACCCTACAACATTTGGCTACATAACAATCCTGCATATGTACTCCTGAACCTAAAATAAAAGATTTTTTTTCAGTTAAGATTTTAACAAGATCCCAAATGTCAGATAGTGGGTTCCACTATTGTTCAGATTTCTTCAAATCTTAAGTAGTAAAACTTTTTAGAACCCAGAGATGCTGGTATTATAAGAAGAATCAAATTTAGCTTTTCCTCCTAAAATTCAAGAATCAAATCTGGGAAAGCTATTTTGGAGTCTGCCAGATGTGACGCTAGAAATAGATGTTTCTACTGGTGATCAAATCAACTCAAATTTGTAAAAGAATTTTTTAACTTTAATATTAAATATTCATGTTTATAGTACTTTTGAGCAGTGCACTTTAATCTTAGTGTTTTATTTGCCTTAAACTCTATAGAACTCAGTTTTCTTTGAAATCATTGGAATAACTCATGTAAATCTTCTCTATTTTTTATCACATTCTCTAAAATAATTGAGATTTGGAGTCCAGGGTCATAGTGAAGACTTCTAGACTAGTGTTCTGTCCCTTAACCAAACAATTCACAATAAACAATAGACTCATGTCCTGTAATAGTTTAGAAAACATCTGGATGATACAAGGAAATTTTGGTTTTAAAATGTATATAAATTGTCAAATGTGTAAAATAGAAAATTTTCTTTTAGTGAAGTAGCTTCAGTGTCCCTTCATTTGCGGTAAGTCTTTTTTTTTTTTTTTTTTTTTTGGAGACAGAGTCTCACTCCATCACCAGGCACCAGTGGCGTGACCTCGGCCCACTGCAACCTCTGCCTCCCGGGTTCAAGCACTTCTCCTGCCTCAGCCTCCCGAGTAGCTGGGACTACAGGCGTGCGCCACCATGCCCAGCTAGTTTTTTTTTTTTTGTATTTTTAGTAGAGACAGGGTTTTACCATGTTGGCCAGGATGGTATCGATCTCTTGACCTCATGATCCGTCCATTTCAGCCTCCCATAGTGCTGGGATTACAGCACTGAGCCACCGTGCCCGGCCTGCGGTAGACCTTAATAAATTGAAAGGCTAAATGATTTGTCAGGGCTTTTTGAGGGGGAGACTTACTGGCACAGTTACCCAGTGATAATAAAAGAATATTGTACCCTTAAGAATATGAGGACAAGAAAAAATGAGGACTGTTTTAAAATAATAATAATAATAATAAAAATAAACAAAATAATTATGTTTTTCTTTTATTCTTAAGATTGCTACAACTGTGTGAAACTCTGGAAGTTCCTCCCAAAAAGACAGAAGATTTAGCTAATGTGTCAAGTCTACTGAATGTAGAAAGGGCACGAAACAAAGCTAATGAAGAAAGTCTGGCATTGCTGCAGGTATGAAATTTGAATAGGGACTCCATAATTAGAGTTAGGGAAAGGAGAAAAGACCAAAGTGTTCTAAGTTATCATGATGTTCTTCCAGTAGTAACTACTAGATCTTGAACCAGGTTTTTCATTAAATTTTTTTTCATTAAAGCAAAAAATTTGTCTGAACTTGAACTTGGCACCTCCAAAGTTGAAGTATTTCTAACATATTTGTGGGTAAGTAGCAGTCCTATTTTTTTTTAATCAGACTTTAACTGAACTATCTTAGTATTTTTAATTATCAATTTGTAGGAACTTATTACTAAATACTGTGAAATTTTAAAACATGTAAGTTTTTCTAACATATATGGCAAGAAAACACAATTATCATTATAGTTAATATGCACTGATGATTTCCTATACTCCAGACACTGTTCTAAGCACTTTATAGTTATATCCCTTAATTGTCACAATAAATCATAATTATAGAGTATGACCTAAATTATTCTCATTTTACAAGCATGATAAAAAGACATACTGCTATTTCTAACTGAACCTTAGACAAATTGCTTAAAGTTGAGGTGCTAACTTTGTCATTCTGACGTTGGTGCACGATTCTTGATTACTGTGCTATATGGCATTCTGTCAAAGATAGTGGGAGATAACCTTATCTATCATGATTAACTTCCAGCTTTTAATTAATGGATATCTGAACAACGAAGAAACAGCAACCTTAAGGAACTTATTAGATAATATAAAAACTAAAACACATCAGACCCCACATATCCCTTAGACATTTTGAAGTAGTTTGTAGATGTGGTGCATAGATTTTAGTTGCAATTTAGTAGGTACAAGGTGGTAGTAGTTTCTGCAAGGAACATATTCCCAATAATTTGTAATAATTCAAAAGTAACAAATAATTGATTACCATTTTTCCATAAGATTGAGAATAAAGTTGAAGGAACAGTTTTCTGAGCATAAATCTATATGTATTTTTAATTACTAGGGTGGTATTTTTTGGTAGCTGACTTACTTTATTCAAAGCGTGATATTATATTTTATTTCCATCCCAAAGTTCCGACTTTTTTAGGGCATGTTCTCAATGTTGGCATTAGCTTCATCACCTAAAACACTTAGATGGCCTTTATATAGGTTGTTTTAAAAGGTTTGAAAGCATGACAATGGAGAATTTTAACACTTACTATTTATGCACATCAGTTAAGAGTGTTCTGAAGTCATAAATGGTAGTGTGATTTTTATGATACTGGGAAGCATTTCTATTCTCCAGCTGAAATTTGACCTCCATAGGACATAAGTATAATTATAGTCTGTGGTTTGCTTGTTAGTCACTCAGAAGAAGCACCACTGGCATTTGGAGCAGGAGAGTTCTTCATTGGCATAAGAGGATCTTTGGACTAGCAGTTTGTAAACTCTATCTTTAACTATTAGTTTTCTCCTCTGTGCCTCAGAGCCATTGTTTTTTCTCACTGTAGCCTAGAGTTACTGCTGGTGATGATTTTCCAAAACCTGTAATAGTAAAAGAAATTTTATTTATTTAACATTTTCATTGTGCTCTCACTCAGTAATGGTGCTAGGGAAACAACAATGGTGAACAGCATCTTGGAGATTCTCGGAAGACAGTATTAGAGCAGCTAAAGCATAATTTTTTAGATTCCCTTATCTGATCATAAAAATGGAGCCATAGAATTTCAGAATAAGAGTTAGCATAAGAAAATATGACAGTAAAGACCAAAAATAACATTCCTGCATACACTGAAAGCATGCCAAAAAGACATGCACTAGAACAGCTGAACATTAACCTAATTTCTCAAGTGACCTGAAATAAATTCAGAAAAAATGATAGAAAATATAGGGGAAACATTATAAATCTGAATTAGAAATACTGATAAATGAAAGTACAGAATTCAGGAATGAATGAGGCATAAAAGAAAAACTTTCAGGTATGTGGATTTAGTTGCAATTTAGTAAGTACAAAGTGGTAGTAGTAGTTTCTGCAAGGAAACTACTAAGTTAGAAGAAACACTAAACCAAATAAACACAATAGATCATGCATATCATAAATAGAAGACAACATAAGCAGAAAATTTTCAGAATCATAAAAACATTTGTAAAAGGAATTGAGAAAAAAAATCCTCAAAGAAGATGCAGTATGAATATGGTAGTAATACCCAAAGATAACCAAAGGGATGGAACAAAATGAATTTTATAATGAGAAATTTTAATCCTCACTATATTTAACCCTTTTACGCATTCAGTGCTGTTATACATTCCCTTTGTAGTGGGTTGAATCTAGGAAAATGGTCTTGTCAGATAAATTAAGGATCTCAAGATGAAATCATCCTGGATTGTCATGGGTAGGTCCTAAATCCAATGACAAGTGTTCTTATAAATGACAGGAGAAGGCACAAGGACAAAGAAAAAGCCATAGGAAGGCAAAGGCAGAAACTAGAGCAATGCAGCTACAAGGAATGCTGACAGCTACCAAACGCTAAAAAAGATAAGAAAGCATTCCCCTCTCTTGTCTTCAGAGGGATTATGGCCCTGCCAACAATCTCGATTTTGAACTTCTGTCCTCCAGAACCATGACAGAATGAGTTTCTGTTGTTTTAAGCAAAGTAGGTGGTACAGCAGCCACAGGAAACTCATATATGTTGGTTGCTTTATATTTATATTGGACAGCACTCTGTTAACTCCAACGAACAATTCACGGAAAATACAGGGCTGAGGAACAGGTTAAACTTCATTCAACAGGGAATGCAGTTCACAAAATTTAGCCAATAGGAAATTCCCCAGCGCAAACTAATCTCCATAAATAAATTACAAGAAACCAAAAAAATTGAAATGGAAGCCTCCTACAGACAAAAAGAGACTTAGACATATCAACCTGACAGTTTGGAACCTGATTAAAACAAAATATAAAAAGAAAAACTCCAATTTATAAGAAAATTGAAAATGTGAACACTAACCATATGTTTGATATTAAGAAATTTATTGGGATTTTTTAAAGTGTAGTAATGATATGGCCGTCTTATATGACTTTAAATCCATTAGAGCTATATACTGAAATATTTATAGATAAAAGGATATCTAGGATTTGAAATAGTGCAAGAGAAGCAGAAGTGGATGGAGTTAAAGGTGTAACAAGATGGCCACGGGCCGGGCACGGTGGCTCACACCTGTAATACCAGCACTGTGGAAGGCCGAGGCAGATGGATAACCAGAGGTCAGGAGTTCAAGAGCAGGTTGGCCAACATGATGAAACCGTGTCTCTACTACTACTACTACTAGTAATTAGCTGGATGTGGTGGCAGGCACCTGTAGTCCCAGCTACTCGGGAGGCTGAGACAGGAGAATCACTTGAACCCAGTAGGCAGAGGTTGCAATGAGCCAAGATCGTGCCGTTGTGCTCCATCCTGGGCAACAGGAGTAAAACTCATCTCAGAAAAAAAAGATGGCCATGAGTTGATAATTGAAACTGGCCGATATGTATATGGATGTTCATGAGAACATTCTCTCTTACTATATATGTTTGAAATTTATTATAATAAAAAATTTAAAAAGTCTGTTCCTCCATGGCATTTAGATTCAAGTGAATAGAGCTCACAGTCCCAAAATCTTGGCCATTCAAGGATCAACACATTCCTAGGAAGGGGCCAGACAATAAACATTTTAGCCTTTTTGGTCCACATATGGTTGACTATTTTGCTGCATATACTTTTGTTTTGTTGAGGTTTTGACCAATCTTTTAAAAATGTAGAAATAACTCAGTTCTTGAACTGTACAAAAATAACCCATGGGCAATTGCTGACCCCTGCAGCTACCCTTTTATTTAAAAAAAAAAAAAAAGGTCATTTAGAAGCCAAAATACATTTCTTGAGGAAGACTACTCCAGTTGCCAGCAACAGTTCTGCATCCAGTATTTGGAGAACAACATACATATAGTATCAATCTTATTGCTGACCAAGATTTCAGAGTTACTTCTGTATATTTTCTGTGTGGCTTATTTATTTGTTCCCCAAAGCCAACAGGCAATGTTATCATTGACTGTTGCTAGTACTGTATTTGAGAGCAGTGCCATACTTAATACCCTTTAGAAGCCTGGAAGCTTGCTAATTTTAATTTTATACTTGGCCTGCAAACAACGCATCCTTAATGTGTTGTTCCCATACTTGTTTTATTCATTTCTCATTTTCTTTGCATCTTCCCCTATAAATTATATATTCCTTTAATGTGGGAAAGTGTTTTTCATTTTTTTATTATTTTCCCTGCTCTAATGCCCAACATTACTTCCTTTTGAAAATTAAAATAGCAGACTCTCAAATGTTCCTAAATAAATGAAAACAATTCAGAATTCTCCATTACATGAAGTTTTATTCTGCTTAGGGAAGGTTGCTGTATTTGCTGTCATCAGTTCTGAGCTCTGCTAGATTTACACTTGGATCTTCCAGTATCTCTGACACTAGCAGCATCGGTAAGTTTTGAGGAAGTGTTCATGTACATCTCCTTAGTCCAGGGAAATTAGATTTTCTTATAATGCATTAATACCTTGACAAACCAACTTTCCAAGAAGTCTGTTTTTCGAAAGAAACAAAAGTAAATTCACCAATTGCTTCTAAAAATGTTTTAACATAAAAGGTATTTTTTAGAATGTGTATGTGTAACAATATCTGTTAGGATTTATAATGTGTTTAACTTAAAATGTTTATTTCCTCTTTCTGACTCAGGAAGAAATAGATAAAATGGTAGAAACTACAGAGTTAATCACTGGGAATATTCAGAGGCTAAAGAACGAAATTGAAATTCTGGCAAGTGAGGTAGAAGAAGAAGAGGAGAAGATAAAGCAGGTAATTATTTTAAAATGTATTGTTGGAATTTGGATATAATTTTTAGTGGTTACATTCTGCCAAGACAACTTCTGAGTATACTATGCTGAAAGAAATCAGCTTTTTGAAATAATCTGTGGCTTTCTTCTACTTTAGATGCATCAAATAAATAATAGTGGAGTCCTCTCTCTTCCAGAACTTTCTCAGAAAACTCTCAAAGCACCCACACTTCAGGTAAGTATCTATTTACCATATTGATTACAGGTGTACTTTGGAGATTTTGCAAGTTTGGATCCAGATCACAGCAAAAAAGCAAGTAACTGCAGTAACACAAGTCACACAAATATTTTGAATTTCCACTGCATATAAAAGTTATGTTTACACTATACTGTAGTCTAGTAAGTGTGAAAACATTATTTCTTAAAAAAAAAAAAAACCTTAATTTAAAAAATGCTTTATTGCTAAAAAAAATGTTGACGACCATCTGTACCTTCAGCGTGTCGTAATCTTTTCGCTGGTAGAGGGTCTTGTCTCAAAGTTGCTGGCTGACTGATCGGCATGGTGATTACTGAAGATTTAGAAGCCTGTGGCAATTTCTTAAAATAAGAAAATGAAATTTGCCACATCAGTTGATTCTTCCTTTCATGAATGATTTCTCTGTAGCATGTGATGCTGTTTCATAGCATTTTACCCACAGTAGACCTTACTTCAAAATTGGAGTCACTTTTCTCAAACCTTGTCATGACTTTATGAGCTAAGTTTATGTCATATTCTGTATCCTTCATTGTTATTTCAACTATGTTCACAACGTCTTCATCAGAAATAGATTCCATCTCAAGAAACCACTTTCTTTGCTCATTCATTAGAAGCATCTCCTCATCCATTCAAGTTTTACCATGAGATTGCAGCAAGTCAGTCCCATCTTCAGGCTTCACCTCTAATTCCAGTTCTCTTGCTGTTTCTACCACAACATCAGTCACTTCCTCCACTGAAGTCGTGACCCCTCAGAGTCATCCATGAGGAGATTGAAAATTGAATCAGTTTTTTCTAAACTCCTGTTATTGGTATTTTGACTCCTCTTATGAATCATCAATGGTCTTATTGACACCTAGCATGATAAATTTCTTTCAAGATGTTTGCAATTTATTTTGCTCAGATTCATCAAAGAAATCACTATATAGGGCAGCTGTAGCCTTACAAAATTTATTTCTTAAATAATAAGACTTGAAAGCTAAAATGACTCTTTGATCCATAAGCTGCAGAAAAGATGTTGTGTTAGCAAATATGAAAATATTAATCTCCTTGTGCATCTTCATCAGAGCTCTTGAATAACTGGGAACATTTTCAGTGAGCAGTAATATTTTCAAAGGAATCTTTTCTGAGCAGTAGGTCTTAACAGGGGGCTTAAAATATTCAGTAAGCCATGCTTATAACAGATGTATTGTCATCCAGGCTTTCTTGTTCTACTTACAGAGCAGAGACAACACAGATTCAGTAGAATTAAGGACCCTGGGATTTTCAGAATGGTCATTGAGCATTGGCTTCAACTTCAAGTCACCAGCTGCATTAGCCCCTAACAAAAGCCTAACAGAAGCTTGTCCTTTAAAGCTTTGAAGCCAGGCATTGCCTTCTCCTCTCCAACTACAAAATTCCTAGAGATGGCATCTTCTTCCAATAGAATGCTATTTTGTTTACATTGAAAATATATTGTTTACTGTAGCCGCCTTCATCAGTGATCTTAGCTAGCTAGGTCTTCTGGGTGAGTAGCTGAGCTTTTCTATCAGCACTTGCTGCTTCACCTCACACTTTTTATGTTATAAACAAAGCTTCTTTCCTTAAACCTTATGAACTAACTTCTGCTAGCTTCAGGTTTTTCTTCTGCAACTTCCTCACCTCTGTCAGCCTTCACAGACTTGAAAGAGTTAGGCCCTTGCTGTGGTTTAGGATTCGGTTTAAGGGAAATGTTGTGGCTGGTTTGATCTTCCATCCAGACCACTCAGACTTTCCCCATAGCAACAATAAGGTTGTTTTGCTTTCTCATCATTCATGTATTCACTGAAGTGCACTTTAAATTTCCTTCAAGAACTCTTCCTTTGCATTCACAACTTGGGTGTTTAGCACAAGAGGCCTAACTTTTGGTTTACTTGACTTTTGATATGCCTTCCTCTCTAAACTTAGTAATTTCTAGCTTTTGATTTAAAGGAAGAGACATGATTCTTCTTTTCACCTGAACACTTAGAGGCCATTATAGCATTATTAACTGGCCTAATTTCAATATTGTTGTATCACAGGGAATAGGGAGGCCCAAAAAGAAGGAGAGAAACTGGGAAATGGCTGGTTGGTGGAGCAGTCAGAACACACAACAATTAACAATTCAGTTCACTATTGGATATGGTTGCAGTTGTGGCACCCCAGAACAATTACAGTAGTTCAATCAAAGAGCACTGGGCATAGATCACTATAACAGATATCGTAATATTTTTTAACATTTGACATGTTAAAAGAATTACCAAAATGTGATGTAGAGACACAAAGTAAGCACGTGCTGTTGGAAAAATGCTGCTTGGTAGACCTACTTCACACAGAGTTACCAAAACCTTCAGTGTGTAAAAAACACAGTATCTGGGAAGCACAGTAAAATGAGACATCCCTATATATCATAGACCAGTTACACATTACATATATATAAAAGCATTATGTCCTATTTCTTTCCTTAAACAAATGGAACCTGATACAAACTGTTTGGCAAATTACTTTTCTCATTTGACTATATAGTTTGAACATCTTGTCAGTCACATAGATCTCACATTTTTGTTGATAGCTGTGTAACATTCTGTTGCATAGATGTCATAAGATAATTTGTAAATTACTAGTGGAAATACATAATTTTTTATTACAGATAAGAGAGGGTACATCTTTGTACATATGTCCTTACTGATTTGTGTAGTCATAATTGTAGGATACATTTCTAGAAGTAAATATTGACAGTTTGGTTTTTTTTATGCATCTAACAATGGCATATAACTCCTTACAAAATAGTAGTGTCTTATTTGTAGTGAACTCTTAACTGGTAATTTATCTTCCTTCAGAGGACTCCGGTAGATATTGTAATATAAATGTTTGTAGCATTGGAAATTCTTCATGTTTTCTCAAAAAGCAATTTAAAATTTTCCTCGTTCCTGTAATCCTAGCACTTGGGGAGGCTGAGGCAGGTGGATCATCTGAGGTCAGGAGTTGGAGACCAGCCTGACCAACATGGAGAAACCCATCTCTACTGAAAACACAAAATTAGTTGGGCGTGGTGGCGCATGCCTGTAATCCCAGCTATTTGGGAGGTTGAGGCAGGAGAATTGCTTGAATCTGGGAGGTAGAGGTTGCGGTGAGCTGAGAACATGCCATTGTACTCCAGCCTGGGCAACAAAAATGAATCTCCATCTCAAAAAAAAAAAAAAAAATTCTTATCATCCACCAGTGGTAAGAGGAGGAGGATGGGGAGAGGGAGAGAGAGATTTGAAAGAATAGCCATTAGTTGACAATTATTGAAGTTGGGTGATAGTTACTAAGATTTATTTATTATAGTGTTCTCTCTGACATACATTTGAGATTTTTCATACTAAAATGCTAAAGACTGTATTTAATACTATTTTTCCCACAGAAAGAGATTTTGGCACTAATTCCAAACCAGAATGCTCTTCTAAAGGACTTGGATATTCTTCATAATTCCTCACAGATGAAGAGCATGTTAACATTCATTGAAGAAGCCTATAAGAAACTGGATGCCTCTTAAAGGGACTTTTTTTTTTTTTTTTAGATTGCTCCATATGAATTTAATGTTCAGGAATTTTTAGAACTGTTAACCTATAAGTATATGTACAGAGGCTAAGTCTTTTGCAGGATTTATTATCTTCTGATATACCCTTTAAAATTAGTTTTTGTAGGTGTATCATTAGCATCTAATGTAGTTCTGAAAACTGTTTTTAGCACTTGCCAAATCTAGGAAGCCAACATTTATATTGCTGTATCTACAATTATTTGCCTAGAACCATAAAATAGGAATTGCCTTGATGATCTAATAGTTTATAATAATACCTGAATGAAGTTCATTCATTGGTTAACAGCTCTTTTCAGGAGCTGTGATATGTAAGTGTTTACCTATAGTGCCTAGTGCATATGCTATCATTCATTTGTAGCCAGTGGCTTACAATTTCTCTCTGGTCATCTGGAACTTGAAAAATCCTCAAATGCCTTTATTCTTTCACCTAACTCCCTAGTATTTTTGTAGAGTAGTTAAGATATGCCTAGTATATTTAACTCCAGCGGTAATATAAAAATTTTACTTCTTTGGTTGGTTAGTGAATTGGTGTTGAATATTTTCTGTTGTCATCAAAACATACTTTCAAAATTATTTAGAAAGAAGCTTAGCACATTTCATTAAAACAAAAAACCAAAAAACTTCTTTATAAACCTTTTCTTATGACAATAAGCTTACATATGTGAATAAATTATCAAAAATTATTTCTAAGAAACTATAGTATACTGTCATGGGTGTTTTTTGTTTCTTGTTTTTTAATCTGTAAAATAAAATTACTTCAATCATTATTATTTTTTTTTTTTGCCTGACCTATAATATCAGTAATAAATTACCCAGCCTCAGATATTCCTTTACAGCAACACTAAACATACTAAGAAAATTGGTATTCAGGAGTGAGGCATGCTCTAAAGATGCCTGAAAATGGTGGGAGTAGCTTTTGAACTAGATAATAGGCAGAGGTTGGAAGAGTTTGGAGGGCTTAGGAGAAGACAGGAACACAAGGGAAAGTTTGGAACCTCTTAGAGATTGGTTAAGTAGTTGTGGATCGAAATGCTTATAGAAAAAGAGACAGCAAAGGTCATACTGAGGAAGCCTTAGATGGAAATGATGAACTTACTAGTAACTGAAGCAAAGGTCACACTTGTTACACCATAGCAAAGAATGTCCACATTGTGTCCATGCTCTAGGGCAGGCATCCCCAAACTTTTTACACGGGGGGCCAGTTCACTGTCCCTCAGACCGTTGGAGGGCTGCCACATACTGTGCTCCTCTCACTGACCACCAGTGAAGGAGGTGCCCCTTCCTGAAGTGCGGTGGGGGGCCGGATAAATGGCCTCAGGGGGCCGCATGCGGCCCTCGGGCCGGAGTTTGGGCACGCCTGCTCTAGGGCTTTATGGAAGGCCTAATTTCAGAGATGGTCTAGGGTATCTGGGAAAAGAAATTTCTAACCATCAAAGTGCTCAGGCTACTGCATGGTTACTTCTAACTGCTTAGAGACCAGAGGAAAATTGGAAAATGTACAGCCTTGCCTTCTGTTAGAGAAGGAAAGAAGAGTGTTTTTAGAAGAGGAATCTAAGAGTATGGCAAAGCAGGAGCAATAGTTTTCTAAAGAGGTTAGCTTGACTAAAAGGGGCCAGGTGCTAACAGGACTATGGTAAATATGTCTCAAAGCCATTTCAGAAATCTTTGATGCCACCTCCTCCTATCAGAGATTGAGAGGCTTAGAATGAAAGAATGGTTTTTTGACGGGGTGGGTGATACTGCTCCCCACACCTCACCGGCACCAGCTGCTCTGGAAGGTGTACCCAGTAAGCTTTGTCGGCTTCCGTGTGGTGTTAAGTCTGCAAGCTGCTGAATGCAAGAGTGGTGGAGATTTGGCAGCTTTCACCTACATTTGAGAGGATGTATTAGAAAGTCTGGCTACCCAGACAGAGGACTGCCACAGGGGCTGAAAGCCTCTACTAGAGAAGTACCTAGTGGAGGAGATGGAGCAGGGCTACCACTCTCCGACCTCAGAATGGTAGAACCACCAGCAGCTTGCAATCTCAGCCTGGAAGAGCTGCAGGTATTGGATGCCAACCCACAAGAGCAGCTACCTGGCCTGCACCCAGCAAAGCCATGGGGATGGGGATGCCTGAGACTCTGGAACCCACCTCTTGAACCAGTGTTCTTAGGATGTGGGACATGGAATTAAAGGAAATTATTTTGGAGCTTTAATATTTAGTATCTGTCCTGCTAGGTTTGGGATTCACATGGGTCAATTTGAGAGGTGAAAACATGTTTTGATTTGCATTTAAATGGTTAAGGTTGAACATCTTTCAGATACTTAACAGATGTCTTCCTGTGAGAATTGCCCATTTTCCTATTTGTATTTAACCTGTTTGTTAATGATATTTTAGAGCTCTTGGGGCCTATTACCCCTTTCTTTTGGCCTATTTTTCCCATTTGAAACGGGAATGTCTGCACCACCATTGTGTCTTAGAAGTAAATTGTTTTTTATTTTACAGGGTCACAGTTGTAAGGAACTTGCTTTGAGTCTCAAATGAAACTTAAGACTTTTGAGTTGATGCTGGAACAAGTTAAGACTTTGGGGGATGGAATAATTGTATTTTGCAATGTGAGAAAGACATGAGATTTGTTTTCCATCCCACCAAATCTTATGCTGAAATTTGATCCCCAGTATTGGAGGTGGGGCCAGATGGGAGAAATTTGGAGACAGATCCCCCATGAATGGTTGGCGACATTCTCCCAGGAATAAATCGTTTCTCTTGGTTCCCATAAGAACTGCTTGTTAAAAAGCCTAGCACCTCCTCCTCTCTCTCCTATTTCCTCTCTCACCACATGATCTGCAAATGGCAGCTCCCCTTCACATTCCACCATGAGTAGAAGCAGCCTGAGTCCCTGGACAGAAATAGATGCTGGCACCATGCTTTTTGTGCAGCCTATAGAACGATGAGCTAAGTAAATATCTTTTCTTAAGTGAATTACCTAGCCTCAGGTATTCCTTTATGGCAACACTAAAGAGACCCAAGACAAGATCCAAATAAAATTAAACTTGAACTAAACATGGTCCCAATAATTGAAATAACAGTCCTCTTCTGTAGTGCCCTCAGCCATCTAAGTTCTCCCAGGCACAGCCCATGCCAACTCTGATGCATCTCTTTTCTAGTGACTGAAAACGGCCAATGCCAGAAACTTTTAAAAAATAACACTTTTGGGATGGAGGATATATTGTATTAAAATGTAGCATATCATAAACGTAGCATTTCAAGTGAAATGCAGAAAAATATCTATTATTCAATAAATGGTCTTCATAAAACTGGCTAACTACATGATGGAAGGTGAGAGGATGTTTGATATTCCTACTTTATGCCTAAATACATTTCAAGCACATAAAATTAAACATAAAAATAGAAGCTAAAAAGAAATAAATGAACAGTGGATGTCAGGGTAGCAAATGCCCTATTACAGGCATTGATCGACTTACGACCTATGCAACTTATGACCATTCGACTTTATGACCACAATTGCTAGCCACGACTGCTCTGCATCTGGCAGCACAAACGCTGCCCAGCTGGGCGTACGACAGTGCGGACCAGCTTCCGGCAGCACTACCATCCCCACGTGCACCATTTCAACTGTACATATAGCCTACTCAACTTACGATCAAATCGTGTTACGACCGTTCCGCTGTCCCGACAGTGGTCGTAAGTCGAGCACTAGCTGTATGCCTATAAGCAAAAGTAAAACCATGAAAGATTATTACATAATATTTTGAACTTTCGGAAATAATATATTTTTAAAATATAAAACCAAGCCGAAGACACCTCACAAACAGGAAAATGTCTACAACATACATGAAACAAAGAAATAAAGCTTTTATTAATAAAGAGCTCTAAAATAACAACAAAAATATCAACAAACACGTTAAATACAAATAGGAAAATGGGCAGTTCTCAAAGGAAGACATCCATAAGTATTTGAAAGATGTTCAACCTTAACTTCACCATTTAAATGCAAATTAAAACGTCTTCATCTATCAAATTGACGAAGACGGAAAAAGCTAAAAGAAAATTGCTGAACATACTGAAAAATGGACACCAAGTATTTCTGCTGAAGGAAGGTAAATTGGTAGAACTGTTTTGAGAGGCAGACTTTACAGATACGTTGCAGATCCTTAGCGTGCTGTCAGTCACTTAAAATTATATAAGCCCTTCTATTTTCGCCAACTCCCAGTTGGGCATATGTTCAACAAACAGGCTTTGTTTAAGTATTAGACACCTGCACTGGAACCTAAAATTAAAGGATTTACTTTTATTTATTTGGTTGGATAGAATTTCGTGGCATTCTCTGTTTACAAAAAATATGCAGTTGCACCTGTCAAAATTAGTATTTGAATTATACGGGTTGGCTTAGTTTCTAAACATAAGTCTAAATCCTCTCATGTTTCATTCATTGTTAAGAACTATTTAGGTTTGAGAGAGAAAAAGCAAAGAAGGAAAGTAAAAGAGAGAAATTTTAATTTCTCAGTTGGGCTTTATTATGTCAAAAAGTGAGCTATTTTTGTTTTTTAATTCACATTTTGGTTGAGTTGTTACTAAATGTATTTTTTTACAACTAAGCCACCACGGAACCAATTTATATTGGCTTAGGTATTTGCTGTTTTATTAAAGTAGCCCCTGCTCTTATGAAGTCTGTGAAATTGCTTTAGCAACCATATCCAAAGATAGGATGTAGTTGTTAAAATTGAACAAAGAGAAAGATACAAGAGGGACATTTTCTAAATTCAATAGAACTACAATAGAGCACATTCTTAAAATGAAGTTGTTCATTTAAACTAATAGAAATAAATGTGCCTTAGCCAGTTTAGCCCCATTCTACCCCCCGGGGGGGGGGTCCTTAAAATGACTCTAAGTGTTCAAATAGTAAAACGGGAATATATGACAGTAGTAAAAATGATAAAAATGGCTGACATTAAGTGCTCGCTACATGCCAGGTACTAATCCAATCCCATTACATATATACATGTATTTATACCAAGGTCTAATCTTGGTATAAATTATTAACAGGTATTTAACCTGTTTGTTAATGATATTTTAGAGCTCTTTATTAATAAAAGTTTTATTTCTTTGTTTTATTTATGTTGTAGCTATTTTCCTGTTTGTGATGTGTCTTCAGCTTGGTTTTATATTTTAAAAATATTTCCAAAAGTTTAAAATATTATGTAATAATCTTTCATGGTTTTACTTTTCTTTATAGGCATAATAGGGCATTTGCTACCCTCACATCTACTGTTCATTTATTTCTTTTTAACTTCTATTTTTATATTTGATCTTAATGACAACCCTATGGGAATTAAACCTCATAACATTCGTTATTATCTCCATTCTACAGCTGAAGAAACTACAGCACAGGGAGGCTAAGTAACTTAAGCTCATACAGATGGTAAATGATAGAATAAGGAAGTGAAAAAATAATTGACACTCTTCTTAGGAGTTCTCTGGTAAGCTGCAAAGTAGAAGGGGCTACTGAATCTAGTAAGTAAATTAAAGCAAAGTACAATCTGATGTATTTTCTGAGTATAGCAGTAATATGTATTGCAGATTTGTTCACTTGAGATTTCAGAAGACAATCCCTGTAAATTAATCTTACATTGGCAGTCTCCTTTATTCCTCCTTCTCCTTTAATCTCAGAGTTAAAAGTTTGCTTTAGCCTGATCGGCACATCTCAAATGTAATTATCTTCAACCATACTTTCCTGGAAAAGTAATATGTTTTGCCCTTTTATTATTTTTTTTCTTCAGGCAAAAAATTAGTTCCAATTAGTTCTGATGTTTTATAAAGAACAAAGAGCTTAAGTTTCTCTTTTAAATGCACTTGGAGACAGGGTGTAATCTAAATTTGGGGAGACCTTTACATGTCTCAGAGTTTATAAATAACCAGAACCCCTCACTTTTTAAAGTTTTCCCTAGGATATTGCACTTTTATCTAAAGGAGTTTCTGTTTTGCAGATAACAGCTTTTGCTTAACTTTTTAAAAATCTATTTTACTCAGTTAATATTTAGAAAACTGTATATAGGCTCCTTAAGACCATGAGTAGGTATACTTTGTTCTCAGTCACATCTTTTGAAAAAGAAGTTACCAATGTATACAGCAAGATCCAAAACTCTTACTTTGATATCTAGTAATTGACATCTAATACAATTTCTCCCCTCCGCTTCCCATTGTATTACAAAGTTCAGTGTCTTCCAGTAAAGAATGCCCTAACTTACCATTTTATGAGACATAAAGATGGTAAACGGAATCCTGCCATGTGTCCACATTCAAACGAAAGCACTCTGCTCTGCCTATGTTGAGACATTTGTGTTGTGCATTATTTCAAGATTCAGGTATTGAGTGCTGAGACGTCCAAGTAAATACTTACATGGTAGTTGAAATTGCAGTCTTTTGAAAGAAGAAGTGAGTAAACTCTGAAAGACTTTTCATTTAAAAGAATAGGCTGAAGGAATTGAAATTTTCAAAATTACTCTCATTTTCGTATATATCATATATAGAGATTACCACCCCCTTTCAGCTTTGTAAGTTTAGGGCAGCAAAACAATTTTCTTTGGAATATGTACAAAATAACTAAGGGGTGAATACCTTTATATTGTTTTCTTATCATACCACAATTTGCCTGGGTTCCATTTCTTTTTATTCTCGTTCATGAGATACTGATTAATAAACAGGTTTTAGGTCTAGAAAATTCCCATCTCTAAATCAAGATGAGTATTCATTGGTTTTTACACCATAAGACTAAATGTGTTAAAAAAGGAAGAGATGGAGTGTAAATTCCTGTGCCGCATGTGAGGTGATTTTCACCGGATTGACAAACTCCTCCCCTTCTACAGGCGTGGGCACTTTTTTTTTTTCCCTCTCCCTCCTCTTTCCACTAAGTGCTAATTAGGGAGGTAGCCTTGAAGAATAAGCTTGCCATTTATATAAAAGGAGCCACTGCACTGATACACAGCTGAAAATCCTGTTTTGGACTGAACTCCCAGCAGGTAAACATTTATTTATTAATATAATACATTTCTAGTCATAGTTTATAATTGCAGAAAAGGATGGGAAAAATAGAAAAGAGAGGAAATCCAACCTTATACAGGAAGAATACAATGCAATTAGGTTTTAAGGAAAGATATGTTGTTTTGTTTCTTGACATGTTTTTGTTTTGAGTTTTTTTTAACTTAAATTTTGATATGAGGAAAATAAGCATTACGAAGTATAAATTTTTTTGCATTGTGATATGGTCACAACTAGAGCAACCTCTCTGAAACAAAAATCCGAACATATGAAAAATACTAGCATTGGATTATAAGTGCTTAAAAAATATATTTCCTCATTAACAAATGCCCACCATTGTACTGTAAATAGTGTATTACATTATAAAAACAGAGATCTTATGTTTTAGTGTTTATAAGACTTAAAGGTCTCCCAGGAGAGTGTCATGCTTTCATTGTTATGATAAATATTAATTAATTAAATAGTTTAGATGCTTGCTCTGTGCTTATAAACACTCAAATGCCCCCCAAAGAAACTTCAGTTTCTAAAACTTACTTGAGCATAATTATTTTGCTTGACAAATACTTTCAAACAGTGAGTCTATTGATTATAGTTTGGTTAAAGAAGTTACCAACCTTTACCTTCCAATTCTAGAACATAGTGATTATGGACAGTCTGTAATTGGGTGGTAAGGTATGACACTCTGTTCTTGCAGCTTTCAGAGTTATTTGTCATTATGACTCTAACATGACTAAAAAAATGTGCAAAAAATATTTTCTGCATCTATGAGAATTCTGCTCTATTTTGTGGCATTGAAAAAATCTTTCTATTTAATGAAAGATCCTTAAGAAATTAATCGCTGTTTACTGAATGGGTATTGTCAAATGTGGATTAATTGCAGTGCCCTCTCTGTATGAACCCATGGGGGAATGTCTCTGATTTTAGCTTGTCACCCTGAGTAATTTGTGGGTTGCAAGAGTATAGTCTAGAATGTTAGGTTGAAGCCTGATTAAGGAGAGGTTTTACTATTAAGAAGCTAGAGTACTGGACTTTAGAGATGGCATAAGTGAAAAAACAAGCAAATGCTAGAGGAAAGAGTATAAGGATAATTTTCTGGGCAAAGTGAATCATGTAACTAATCATATTTGTTTCTTTTTATGTTAGAAGGTTTAGTGTCAAAAATGTCCTCTCGCCTGCTGCAAGTACAATTGATTCTCATTGTGGTGATTATTTTCAATAAAATAATACCAGACACTGACTTAGTCAATACTGAAACATTGTTCCTAATAGGAATACAGTTAGGTTCCTGTCAGCCTCTGGTCACAGTATTTTCATCAGCAGATCAATAACCTTGTTTTATGTGTGTTTTTGTTGAAAGACACATTAACATATATCATTGATTCAGGAACGTTATAACTCGTCCAAATGAAACTTACCTAACAGTTGTATTTTCTCCATTATTCACATCACAGCCTTTCTGCACTTAGAAACACTATATAGCACCTAAGTGCTAAGCTTTTGGTCCAATTTAAACAGCAAAATCGACAAAAAGCACAGAAATTTGAAAAACTTGGCACTAAATAGACCATGAAAAGGATGCTTGTTTACAGTATAAGAACAAACAAGAAGGCAGAGGGATACTGTGTTCAACCTTAGCTGGAAGCATGAGTTAGCAAAACCGGTTCTTTTTGCTGCTCTCTATACATGACTACAAATGACTGCAGAAGTACCACAAGTATTGATTTGGGAATTACAAATAAATTTTAGTGAGCAGGAAAATTTTCAAATGTGGAATCCATGATTAAGGAGGATCATCTTTATACATAGGATTATGTTCCATGCTCCATATTTTGCATATTAACCTCACTTTTGACTCCATATTACTTTTCCCTTTATTTCTCCCTTGCCTGAATTTTAATTCAAGCTTAATTTTTCTTGATATATTTTATGTGTTTTCATAAATGGCTTTAGATCCTTCAAGGAACAAACCAGGTAATAAAGCAGCAATTATCAACAAATATTCTAATTCCTACTCTTTTCATTGGCTACTTTGCTAAGTATTCAGGCATAAAAAGATCTCTAGACATCAAACCTGATTAAGAGGTTCATGATCTACTGTCCTTTGAAATAATTTTGTTTCATTTTTGAAACTTAGTCGAAATAAATGTATTTCAAATAAGTATCCACTACAAAGTTAAAATTGTATTTAGAGATGATGCAAGTTAATGAAAAGTTAAGCAGATGAAAAAGTACAGAGATGATGGCTGTACTTCTTTCTTTGCCATTCTGAAGTGTGGCAACTTGATCTTTTCAAAGTTTCTAATATTGGTCCAGAATGGGCGTACTAAGATTCAAAAGCCTCTTTGATGTTCAGGTGCTGCCCTGGCCCCTGCAATCTCTACTGACTCCTGCAGAGAGCAGGAGTTCAGTGAACTAGAACCCACAGGGCTTAATCATACGCTTTCCAGAAGTTCAGGCTCACATCAACCTCATGATAGAATTTTACAGCATTTTAGTAGATTACAATTGAATTACAGATAGATTACAATTGAGAGCACAAACACCTCAAGTGTACCACTCAGTGAACTTCATATGCTTTCCAGAAGTTCAGGCTCACATCAACCTCTTGATAGAATTTTACAGCCAATTTTAGGTAGATTACAATTTAACATTCAGGGTATCCTGTAATCACATGGGTATGCCACACAGGGAAATTGAGTAGAGTTTTCTCTACCTGGAAAATATGTTGTAAAGCAATGATCCCAGCTCTCCACAGAGGCACCATGTTCTCCTGTCTAGCTGAGTTCTCTTTGCCATCCTAGTGCCTGCCTGCCACAGATAAGTTGATAAGTTCTGCTACACTGAATGTAGGAAATATTTTTTTCTTTAATTCAGTCCATCCCTGATTGGAATGATGCCGAAAAAAAGTTTTCTTGGGAACAAAGCAGGGGAGGTGAAGCCCCCAAATCTAAAAACATGTAATTGCATGAGAATGATGACTTTGCTACCTTTTATGTAGGCCCTTCTTGTTTCTTAAATTTTATCTGGCTAAAATGAGCCTCAGCCTTTACGCACTTCTGATTCTGCATTTTCAGTCTAGGTATTTCTCTCCAAGTTGTTCCTCATAACCACCCAACCCACTCAAGTCTTTCTCTAGTCTTTGTCCCACATTGTGAAAAGGATGTTTTTCTACTTACCTCAAGATTCTTATTCTGAGCTTCATATTTTCCATTCAACAACTATTTAGACTGTCCCTATTGTGTGCCAGACCCTTCGGCCACTGCTATGGGTACAGTAGAGCACAAAGAAGACATGGGTCATACCTTCACACAGCTTATAGTTGACTCACGATGGATTTAGATCAAATAAAGCACAAAGAAATGTCAAATTACAACTGTTATACATGCCCTGAAGGAAGAGTTTAGAGTATAATCAATGTGTATAACAGACTTGACCCAGTATAGATACTCACATCTGTTCAGAATTAGGTTATTTTTAAAACATTTAAAAAAATTTTTTCTTTTCTTTTCTTTCAGTACCAGTTTTTCCCAAGGATTAGGTCATTAACACTTGCCATGTATTCTCTGGTTTACCCATTCCTGTGCCTCCCCATTTTCCTTCTTCCCTCTTCAGAGGGAGCAATGGCAGTCAGAATTATACCCAATGAAAATAGAATTACAAGAATACTCCTAAAATATTAACAGGCAAAAATTAAATGCCTACCTTCAAGTTTCTGATTAGGTGTGGAGTTGCAAGAGCTCTGGAATAGATGTTGGTGCTAAACTGTTCTACCAAATTACTGATACTGGAGAAAATGTTGAAGAGTTGCTTTCCGGAATCACTTAAGGTACCATAAAATTAATAATTTTAAAAATGTCTTTATTGTGTTAATCTGTAAATTAATGTCAAACTTGTGGCTATTTCCCTTTTTTCCTGATGATAAGACTCTCTAGGAGAACTTGCTAAACATACAACTTCCCAGCTCCCTCCTACTAGAGACAGATTGAATAGACTGGGATAAGGCCCAAGGAATTACACGGTTTTTTTTGCTTTAAGTCTGGGATTCATGTGCTGAACGTGCAGGTTTGTTACGTAGGTATACATGTGCCATGGTGGTTTGCTGCAACTATCTACCTGTCATCTAGATTTTAAGCCACACATGCATTAGCTATTTGTCCTAATGCTGTCCCTCCCATGTCCACCCACAGGAAACTATACTTTTCATAGTCACCTAGATGAATCCTAAAGAAATTTAGATAATTTCTAGATTATTTCTAAATAAATTTGAGTTCTAAAATATTTTAAATAGCAGAAGAGTATGGACTAGATGGCATTGCGCTTAAGAACATAAACTAGTTTAAATAATAGAACTGAGGTTTAGATTTTGTTATAAATACAGTGAAATTGCCTTTAAGGGCTGAATTTCTTGAGCAAGGAGACTGCCCTATGCCTGGTTTTCAAATGTGAGTGGCATGCAGATCACCCAGGAGAGACATAACAAATTAGAATTTGTGAAGACAGAGACTTGCATTTTTACTAAAGACCCTCTATAATCCTTATGTATATTAAAATTTGAAGAAAAGTGATCTAGAAAGAGTCCTCTAATGCACTATACTGTATTAATTAAATTTGGCCATCTTGTCTATTGTGCTTAAACTCTGTGTGGTATGGAAATTGTGAATAAAAATTTGGAATTATTTGGCTAAAAAAAGGAGTTCTAAATGGACAATCTGATCCAAATTTTCCCAAGATCAATGCTGACCCTGAAGTGAATTAATTGAATGAAGTGGTAGGCTGGTTTGCTTTAATAACATGTCCAAATAATTATTTTGCCAGAGATAAATAAAAAAGGTGTCAGTGACCTTTACAGGGTAATAAAACATGTTAGAGAATTTAAAAAAAAAATAAAGAAAATACAATTTTGTTTATTTACACTTTCTCCTTTTTTGAAGTTTGTGGTAAAGTTCCTTCCTAAGCTCTCATCTCATTCCCCCAGCACATTGACTTCCTTCTAGCAACACCCCCTCAACTCAACATTCACCCTTTGAATAAATAGCTATTGGAAGAGTTTGTTTTCAACCAGTGTCAAATCTTTCACTTGGTTTTAAGTCCTATACAAAGAAGTTATGTTTTTTCTTTCCAAACCTGAATATTGAAAGGGTTTTTCCCTTTTAACATTCTGAATACTCTCAATCATATTTTTACATTCTTGAGTAAGAATGTATAGTTTACTCATGCGAAACTATATTAATAAACATTACTCTGTATATGCAAGATGGGCAGCCACAGAAATTAATGATTAACAGAACAAGCATGACCCTTCCAGGTTACTTTAGAGCTTGAATTTTCACTAATGGTGATCCATGTTACACAAAAATGTAAGCCAAACCCAATCTGGAAAGACTCCTATGAGGATATGTGAATGACATCCAGATTGGGCAATACAGAATAAAGTTGTACAATTCTAGACATTGAAGAAAATGAGTGATTGAGATTAAAATATTGATAAAGTCAGGTGCAGTAGTAAGCTTGTAGTCTCAGCTGCTTGGGAAGCAGAGGCAGTAAGTTCATTTGAACCCAGGAGTTCAAGGCCAGCAAGGTCCCATTTCTTTAAAAAGTTTTTTTTTTTTAATTAAAGAAAAAAATGTTAAGGGAGGTAAATGTAGGTTCCAATGTCCATATATATATACATAAAGTTCATTGAAATCTAACATATGCTACAAAGTACACACAATTATGTAGCACAATGAATTTTCATAAAGCAAATGCCTATATAACATCCACTATTACAGAGAAAGAAAATTACTTTTGACATCACTCCTTCCCATCCACAATGATCCTTTCCAACCACTACCTTTTGCTACTCCCCAAAGGTGACCACTATCCTGACTTCCAAAGCCATAATTTAGTTTTGCCTGTTTTTCAATGTAACATAAATTGGATCACACAGTAAATATCTTTTTCATATCTAACTTCTTTTCCTTAACATTATTTTTGTGAGGTTCAGGGATCTCATTTAGCAGTGGCCTACTCATTTTCATTGCTGTTTTGTAATCTATAATAGCAATGTGCTACAATGCATTTATTCATTTCACTGTTGATGAACATGAATGGTGGTAAAAAGGACTCCTATAGTTCAGCAGTCCTTGTTACCACCATAACTTTGTCAAACCCCTGCAAGCACACATGTGACATATGAAAGTGGTTTTGTAGGATGGACATCTGTCTTAGTAGAGAAAAATATGTGGCTGCTTATGGTGGCTCATGCCTGTAATTTCAATACTGTGGAAGGCCAAAGTAGAAGGATCACTTGAACCTAGAAGTTCAAGACCAGCCTGGGCAACACAATGAAACCCCTATCTCTACCAAAAAAAAAAACAACTTTTTTTAATTATACAGGTGTGGTGGTGATTGCCTTAGTCCCAGCTACTCAGAAGGCTGAGGTGGGAGAATTGCTTGAACCTGGGAGGTGGAGGTTGCAGTGAGCCAAGATGGCGCTACTGCACTCCAGCTTGTACGACAGAGCAAGACTCAGGAGTTCAAGGCTGCAGTGATCTGTGATTGCCCCACAGCACTCCAGCCTGGATGACAGAGTGAGACACTGTTGCAAAAATAAATAAATAAATAAAAATAAAAGTAGAGAAAACTTTAAAGAAAGAAAAGAAAAAATGTGAAAGTCCACAGAACGGAATTCTAACATTATTCTGGTTTGGTTCAGTCACCAAGCATTCAGTCATCTAAGTCAGGCTCCATGAACTTAAAAATGAATGAGACATAGTGTTAGCCTTCAGAGAATCCTTATAGAGCCTTGCTCCGTCAAATCAAAATGCAGTTTTTTGTTTTCTTTTAATTCGGGTTGGTATCACCCTCTAATGATGTCTAATCATAATTTAGTGTTGAAGTAGTTGCATTTCACAGGTTATTTTCAAATTGTATATTGGACTTGAAAAGCAGCTATCAAAATTTTTTGTGTAAGTTTTTAAATATGCATGAAACCTAACTGCATATGTCATCCTGATTCATTCAGCAAGTATTTATTGCTGATCTATATGCCAAATACCCATCTAGTAAGCCTATGAATTTAATACCTCTCACTGCTATACTATAAAAAACTAGGTCTGGAAAGAGTTTTTATAGGATTTCATAGACTTTTTACCAGTTTTCATGTGCACTGATGAAATAACAATAGAAAAAGTAATGTGTGTATCTATTGTGTCTGCATTTATGTGTACATGTTTATAATTTCCTCTCATGAACATGATTATACAGTAGAACAAGAAGTAAAGAAGATAATATGTGACTGAAACAGCTAATTGTATGGCTGGCTTATCTCTCTGGGTTATGTGACTCAGGTTTATGGAGCAGTGATGAACATAAATCGTGGGAATCCCTTTCAGAAAGAAGTGGTGTTGGATTCATGGCCGGATTTCAAAGCTGTTATCACCCGACGACAAAGAGAGGTACAGTTTTGAAAGATAAAAAATTAAAAATAAGAATTGGAAAGAAAAAATAGGTAATGGTATTTTATGCCCACAGTAGCCATATTACATTAGCTTACAACACTACATGTTTCACCATTAATTTCTTTTATTTTCTTTCTATTTATTTATTCATTTATTTATTTATTTTTGAGACAGAGTCTCATTCTGTCACCCAAACTGGAGTGCAGTGGTGCTATCTCAGCTCATTGCAACCTCCACTTTCCAGGTTCAAGCAATTCTTCTGCCTCAGTCTCCCAAGTAGCTATGATTATAGGCACCCACCACCATGCCTGGCTAATTTTTGTATTTTTAGCAGAGAATTTAGTAGAAACAGGGTTTCACCATGTTGGCCAGGCGGAGCTTGAACTCCTGACCTCAGGTGTTCCATCTGCCTCAGCCTCCCAAAATGTTGGGATTACAGGCATGAGCCACTACACCCAGCCTCACCATTAGTTTTTCAACTTGACTGGCTTCTGAGTGTCAGGAATATGAAAAAACTCTAGTCGAAACATGTTCAATAAAGAGGTTTCTTAGTGTTTCATGATCTCTAGAAGGATGAAGCACAGATGGCTGATTTATAGATACTAGCTTTTTCCCTGAGTGAATGATTCCTTATGACGGATGACTTTGGTCATGTGGGTATTTGGAAGAAGAGTGAAGACAACATCTGCCCCATTCTGCCCCGAGACCAAGGAGAAGCTCACGTGGCCAAAGAGGTGCTGTCCTGACCACATTAGGAAGATTTAGAGAGTTGTAATTTTTGGAAGTAAATCCACTCAGTTATATACCCTTTTTATTTTTATAAATAAACAAAATCCTAGAAAAATGTGAAATGGATGTCTAAAAACCTTCCTAGCCAGATATGGTGGCTTGTGCCTGTAGTTTCATCTACTTGAGAGGCTGAGACAAGAGGACTGCTTGATCCCAGGAGTCCGAGGCTATAGTGAGCTATTATTTCACCACTGCACTCCAGTCTGGGTGACAAAGCAAGACCTGTTGCTAAAAAATAATTTAAATTTTTTTAAAACAAATCAAAACCTCTTCTAATCCGAGAAGAAAGAAGAAAAAATTGGTCAGGTGCAGGGACTCACACCTGTGATCCCAGCACTTTGGGAGGCCGAGGCAGGAAGATCACAAGGTCAGGAAATGGAGACCATCCTGGCCATCATGGTGAAATCCTGTCTATGCTAAAAATACAAAAAGTAGCTGGGTGGGGTGGTGTGCCCCTGTAATCCCAGCTACTTGGGAGGCTGAGGCAGGAGAATTGCTTGAACCTGGGAGGCAGAGATTAAAGTGATGAGATCGCACAACTGCACTCCAACCTGGCGACAGAGCAAAACTCCATCTCAAAAGAATCACTGCAGCATATTGGCCCCATTCCCACTTAGCCATTGTTTTATAGGTGACTAAATTTGTTAGCCACCTATAAAAATTAGCTAGATATGCCCAACTAATGTTATCTAATCTACCTAAGATTGGGATTATCCAGACAATATGTTTATGTTTTTATAATTATGTCCTCTGTCCTAGGCTGAGGTGGATAACCTTGATCATTATACTAATGCCTATGCTGTGTTCTACAAGGATGTCAGAGCTTATCGACAGCTATTGGAAGAATGTGATGTTTTTAACTGGGACCAAGTTTTTCAAATACAAGGTGAGGTCAAGTGCAAGACTTACATTATGCAGTCGTTTTTTCTCCTCTACAGTATATATCCAGATAGATACAGGTATTTCATATATATAGAAATATACAGATTATGTATATACACATACATGCATAAATACAAACACATACATTTTATGCATTTACCATTTCTATATTATAGTGTTATAAGAACACTTACTTGTCACTTCTAATGAGACATGCATTGCTTTCAGGGTAAAAAGAGATCATTTAAATTGATCTATTCTTAGGTGACATATTTTTTCTATTATTACTGTAACATGTAAGGATATCAGTGAGAATCAGAGAATGTTTTTCCTTATTGGTCTTAATCCTTTTCTATCACACCTTTTAAAATAACTATCATTTAGGTCTTAGCCAATCCCTCATTTAGCACGTAAGTCAGCCTGGACATTACCCTTTTATTTTTTCTGAATCAGATGATTCTGGAAAGAAATAATCAATTGATCTACATAATGTCCTGAAATTATTTTTTTCTCTCTCTCTTCAAGTCAAGGTCTTGCTCTGCAACCCATGCTGTGCAGTGGTGTGTTCATAGCTCACTGCAGCCTTGAATTCCTGGGCTCAAGGGATCCTCTTTCCTCAGCCTCCTGAGTAGCTAGGACTACAGGCGGCACCACCACACAGGGTTATTTTTGTTTTTGTAGAGACAGAGTCTCACCCTATTTCCTAGGCTGCTAAAGTGATTTTATACAGAAAGAGTTTATATGAGCTGAGAGGAGATAATTTCATGGCAATCAGGGCTTGTGGCAGAACTTTATGCCAGGAGAAAGGAATATTTAAGGGTTCCTGATAATTTAGATGAATAGTTTCAGCTTCAGTGTACACTTACTCTTCCAACTTTTCATTATGGTTAGGTGTTGGTATAGGCAATAAAGTTGTTGTTTATGACTGTTCCAGTGAAAGTAGAGAAACTCATATTGGAAATATAAATGCCAGTAATTTTTTTTTTAACTGTAGAGAGCTGATGCCCTCCAATAAGGAAAAGCTTCTATCCACCTGAAAAATTTGCAAATAATGACTAGCACATGGTCATAAGCCAAAGCCTTTAGATGTCATATAAAATGTATTTGTGGCCGGGCGCGGTGGCTCAAGCCTGTAATCCCAGCACTTTGGGAGGCCGAGGCAGGTGGATCACGAGGTCAAGAGATCGAGACCATCCTGGTCAACATGGTGAAACCCCGCCTCTACTAAAAATACAAAGAGTTAGCTGGGCATGCTGGCGCGTGCCTGTAATCCCAGCTACTCAGGAGGCTGAGACAGGAGAATTGCCTGAACGCAGGAGGCGGAGGTTGTGGTGAGCCGAGATCGCGCCATTGCACTCCAGCCTGGGTAACAAGAGCGAAACTCCGTCTCAAAAAAAAAAAAAAATGTATTTGTAAATGCTCAAAAAGACCTTATGTAAGAAGCTCTAAACTATCTCTTACCTTTACAGATTTGTCCCAGTTATGCTGGTTAGAAATGAGACATGATTCTATCACTTCCATAGCCAATTTAGAAAAAAAAAAGTTCTGACCATTGTTACTTTAACATGGAAATAAATAAAGTTCCTCATTGATGTGAAAAATCATGGCAGTAATTGGATGGATCTTGGTGCTACAAGCCTATTATCACTAAATCACCTTAATTCATTATTATATAGAAAAGAGGTACATAATTTCCAATATATTTTTCAGAAGGCTGAGCTGATAGTTGTCAGTAAGGTATAGTCATCTAAATCGACCCAGTCATTCTTCCTGAAGGTTTGGTGGGGACAAACGTGAATTAGTATCACATAACATAGCTGGAGTAGTAAAAGTCCCTCATTTAGCACCTACGTCAGCCTGGACATTACCCTGAGCTTCTCATGTGGTCTCTTGACTGTAGACTTCTGTAGTAATAGCTGTAATGTTCTTGGAATACTGAATACCTTCTAGGAAGTCACTGGTATCTTTACTATTCTTAATTGGAGCACCTAAAAAGGTCATAAATTCTCTCTGATTCCATAACACAATTCTAAAAGCCTACCTACTGGCCATATACATGATCAACATTTGCCACAGTACAGACTCCAGTCACAGATACTAGTTTGGCTACTGGGTAGATCACGAATTAGGTGGTGGAGCTGCTTCAGGACTTGGTGTTCAGAGGAATGACAAATCCTACATAGGAATGCCTTTGTCGTTTTTAATCTAAGAGCCATTAATGAACAATATTAAATCATGTTTAACCTACCAAGCTACCCAAAGTAGCTAAACCACCCTTTGGTTTGCCATGTGAAAGGAGGAAGTGAAAAAGTATACAGCTACCCAGACAGGCCAGGCTCTTCTGTTCACTACTAGTTGCACTGATATGAAAAGGATTATCTACATGTGTACTAACCTGACAGTCTCAGAAGCCTGCTTATTGGTAACTAGTCTAAGAAATGTCCAGAATTCTGGCTTATCCAGTTAACTACTCTTCTGATAAGAAGGTAGGTAGAAAGAGGCAGAGCAAAATGTGGAAGTTCCTTTCACTTGTGGGAAAATAATTTGTTAAAAGTTGTAACCTATAAAGAAGACCAAAGGACATAATCAAGAACACCATGAAGAGGTAATCAACAAATTCCAAGATTATGAAAACTGCACAGCAAACACTTGGTGTTTTTTTTTTTTTAAACAAATAAACTGAAAGAATCAAAGAGAGAGGGTAAAGATTGAAGAAAAACATGTAGATTAAAAATTTTAAGACCACACACTTGAAAAATAGGCACTGTCTCCTTTTTTCTCACAGTTTAAATTACTGAGGTGGAATTCAGTGTTATAATAGGGGATACTAGCCACAGCATCTATAATCTTAATAACATTAACTGAAAAGTTTACTTATCTTTTCTGAGGCTTAACTCTCTGAGGGAGGAGTCAAGGCTCAGATACCACACTGCGTTCAATATGCCTTTCCACTCATGCATTCTTAAAGAAGCCCAGCGCCACACCGAAGAGCCTTACCAGAGGGGAGGAAGCAAGCCATTAGTCAGGGGAAGAGGCAAAGTCAGTTTGCAGAGGATTCAATCAATCAGTACACAGACTGGAAAGGAATGAGTAGATGGGGATTTGGAAAGGTGGAGAAAGGAGTCGTTCTATAAGCTCTCTAAGAACAAAGACCAGGGAGGGCCAGGCATGGTGGATCATGCCTGTAATCCAAGAGCTTTGGGAGGCCAAGGCAAGAGGATCACTTGAGGCCAGGAGTGTGAGACCAGCCTGAGCACATAGGGAGACCCCGTCTCTGCAAAAACAAAACAAAACAAAACAAAAACTTAAAAATTAGATTGGCCAACAGGTGGCATGCACTCAGGAGGCTGAGGCGGGGGATCACTTGAGCCCAGTGATAAAAAGTCCCATGGGATATTCCCATGATAAGTTTCTGTGAAGATCATGATAGTGGTCCCAATGGGCAACATCATGGGAATTTGAAAATCCTAGAAAAATTTGAAAATGCCAATAGCTGTAATGACATGTAAATATGTAGTGGTTAGGATAATACAAGGTGGCAAACTGCTGGTATTGATACTCAGTATAAAAATACTGCAACAAATTTCCTCTTTCCTTTTTTAACTAAAATGCCCATATATTAAATTATGTCTTTCTATACACAGGGCTGCAGAGTGAGTTATATGATGTTTCCAAAGCGGTTGCCAAATCAAAGCAGTTGAATGTAAAGCTAACTTCTTTCAAGGCTGTTTGTTTTCCTCCTGTTCCAACTCTGCCAGATGCCAGTTTCCTGTATGTAAACCAAGTTTTTGCATTTGGGGCAGGACTTACTGCTATAGAATTACAGGTAGCAGTAACTGGAGTACTTAGTATCACTACGGAATATCTAGGCACTTTGGATTTCAGCCATTGAGCATAAATGGATGTGTGTGTGTGTGTGTGTGTGTGTGTGTGTGTGTGTGTTTACTCTTCTCTCTCCTGTGCTTGACTGCTCATAATTTCATTGAAAATCAAATCAGTATCTTTGTCCATAGTTATAAATGAACTCAGGATTCCTATGTTTTCACAGTACCCATGGAAAAATTATTCTTTGGTGTCCTCCTCCCTCAAATAATTCTAAATAATTTATATTGTCTGAGTCCAACAATCCAACAATAATTTATATAGTTATTGTTTTTGCTGTTTCAGGGATGGGGGTATATAGCTGACTTACGTTGAGCTCTTACGTGCCAGGGACTAAATGTCTTAATATGTTATTCCATTAGTTCTTTCCACAACATTGTAAAGTAGGACTACTATTACTGCCCCTCCTACCCCACACCTTTTTAAGCAGAGATGAAATAACACACAGGGGTAAATTATAGAGCCAAGAAATCCCAAGTTCAACTCCAGATGCAATCTTTCAAAACAATGATTAGCTTCTATCTGCATTCATTCTTCTTTTGGAGTCCCTGCTCTGTCACTTACTAATTACCTTTCCTAGTCTCAATTTCTTCTGAATTCATTCCATTAAGTGTTCTTAAAATTAATATCATTTTAAATCAACAAATAATAATGTACACATTTATGGGGTACAATGTGATGTCTTGATAAATGTATATAATGTAGAATGACTAAACCAAGCTAGTTAATATTTTTAAAAGTGTTATATTTTCTTGACATGTTGTTTTGCAAGAGACTGAAGAAAGATAATTTTAAAACACCTGCCACAATGAATACTAATTTTCTTTACTACTACAGTGAATGTTGAAAAAATTGTTGAGCAAAACAGCACTAAGCCTTAAAAGAATGCACATTTTAAGTCATAGGAAAGCAGCTGGATTTTCTTTTATTATTTTTTTAATTATGAAAATTTCAAACACACATAAAAGGATAGTATAAAGAACCTCCCACCAATACGTAGCTAACCTTATTTAATTTATACAACTGTATATTTTTTCCACTCCCTGGATTGTTTTGAAGAAAATATCCCAGACATTATCCTTAAATATTTTAATATGTGACTCTAAAAAATGAATCTTTAAAGAAAACCCACTATACTGATATTACTCCTGTGTCAGAGGTCCCCAAGAACACTCAAGGGTTCTATGGTCCACTGTGTTGACACACAGGACTCAGCAAATATACTGATGGCTATGATTGATTATAATGAAAAGATAAAATGCAAAATCAACAAAGGGAAAAGGTGCACCGGGTAAAGTCCAGCGGAAACCAGGCACTAGCTTCCAAGAGTTCTCTCCCAGTGGAGTCACACAGAATGTGCTCAGTCCCCAAGCAATGACCTGTAATGATATGTGTAAAATGTTTCAAACTCAAGCAGTTCTCCTGTCTGGGCCTCCCAAAGTGCTGGGATTTCAGGTGTGAGCCACCGTGCTTGGCTAAAAGTTGTCTATCAGGGAAACTTACTATTAGGACTCAGTGCCCAGGATTTTTCTTGGCAGCATCCTTTGCCTAGCACAGACCAATTTCCTAGACTCACAGAAGGAAAGCCAGTGTTTAGCAAAACTCACACTGTTTGCACAGTTTAATCAAAGTGAGCCATTTATGTAGGTCCTGGAAATGGTAGCCCTCCTCCAGATCCACATTCCCCGACACCAGCCAAGGGTCAACCTTGCAATTAGGTCTCTTTAAGGGTGATGGCCCCAAGCCTTTATGTTCGCCTTTTCTGCACAATCCCTTAAAATATTGTTAACAATATTTCCTTAAGTAAAATAACAGTATTCATATTTCCCAAGTGTAATAATATTTTTAAGTTCTTTTTGAATCAATGACCAAATAAGATCCATACATCAGGACTCTTTAATATATCTAAAGTTTCCTTTGACTTGTGACTTCCCCTTCATCTTTACTTTTTGGCATTACTTTTCTGTTGAAGAAACCAGGTTATTTGTTCTTTGAAATATCCCATAATCTGTTTACTATTGTGTCCCTGAGGAATTATTTAAAATTTCTGTCTGTTGAGTTGTCAAGCCTTTTGAAATGGAGTTTTAACTTGAATTGATCTCTTTTTGCATACAGTTAAACATTTTGTCCTGTCTTTTTCCTTAACTTCCTATACAACACTGATGTAAACAATTTGTCTTTAACATATAAATTGTTACCCAACTTTGTCAACTCTATTTTGAACACTGTGCCCTTGGGAAACAAGATCAGAGTCTCTAACATTACTACTCCTGAAACACTTGCCGTAGCAATGTTTTTATTTGCAGTGATATTTCTGCCCAAAGCGTCTTTACTGTTGCCTTAAAGTTATTTCTCAAAAATTCAATAGAAAATCCCACTAAGCCAGCTAATTTTTTTCCCGCTGCTTAGTGGATAGATGACTGGCCCAGTTCCATAGCTGATAATATGCCTGAAATGAGCAATAACACTACACACCACTAATTAAAAGAAAACACAAATTTTTACTATATAAAAATGATGTCAGGAACATTACCAGTCTCTTACCAGTCACTTGGGATAGTCTTATGATATTAATAGCTTTAAGACTGAGAGCAAATTCTGAGGCAATGCCAGCCTCATAGGTTTTCATCTAAGAAATTTATTTCAGTTTTTATAAATTGCACCAATTATTTTTCTTTATCTTAACATCAGGGCTTTATATTGTAAATTACTAAAAACTTTCATAACATTAGAATAAACACAGTGAAAGCTAATGGCCTATACAAATGCTGCCGCGGAAAAGTTGAAGGTTGGGACTATTTAACCTACAAAAAAGCAGGCCGAGGGGACAGTTTGAAAGAACAAATATGGCCAGGCACAGTGGCTCACACCTGTAATCCCAGCATTTTGGGAGCCCAAGATGGATGGACCACCCTGAAGTCAAGAGTTTCAGACCAGCCCAGCCAACATAGCGAAACCCCATCTCTACTAAAAATACAAAAATTAGCTGGGCATGTTGGGGCATGCCCATCATCCCAGCTACTTGGGAGGCTGAGGCAGGAGAATTGCTTGAACTTGAGGGGCAAAGGTTGCAGTGAGCCGAGATCACACCACTGGACTCCAGCCTGGGTGGCAGAGCAAGACTGGGTCTCAAAAACAAACAAACAAAAACCCAAATATTTCTAAAGCATGCACATATGCCTGGCATATTAAGAAATCTATATTTCTTTTTTGGCTATGGATACATAACCACAGAAGTTCTATCCTAAAACGTTTATTTTATTGAGCAAAAGATTAGGGCTTCAAGAATCTGGACTTACTGAGGCCTTAGAGAGGCTTTCAGCAGAGTCAAGACTAAATAAAAGCAATTCTGAGGGGTTTTGTTGTTACTATTGTTGTTTATAGACAGTGTTAAAAGAAAAACTTTAGACAGATTAAATTTAGCAACATTGGTCTGGAAGCAGTGGGTCACACCTAGAATAATTCCAACACTTTGGAAGGTGTAGGCTGGTGGATCACTTGAGGGCAGGAGTTGGAGATGAGCCTGGCCAAAGTGGTGAAACCTTGTCTCTACTAAAAATAAAAAAATTAGCCAGGGATGGTGGCACACCTGTAATCCCAGATACTCGGGAGGCTGAAGTATGAGAATCGCTTGCACCAGGGAGATAGAGGTTGCAGTGAGCTGTGTTGTGCCAATGCATTCCAACCTGGGAGACAGAGTAAGCCTCTGTCTTAAAAAAAAAAAAAAAAAATTGAACGTTTATTTGAGCAAGGAACAATTCATGAATCTGGCAGCACTCAGAATCAGAAGAGTTTCAAAGTTACACCCACCAGTGGGAGATTTTACAAGCCAGATCACAGAAGCAAAGTAGGCAAATCATCTGATTGGCTACAGCTAGGTATCTGCATTATTTGGGCATGGTCTGCTCACTTACTTGCCTATGATTGGCTCATTTAACAAACTCAACCATTTGTTATACTCCTAGGGGTGGTTTGGAGTCATTTATATACTATGATAGGTTGCAGTTCAACACATGGGGACTCAAGGTATGGAGGGAGCTGCAGGTGAAATTTAACTGATTTAACAACAGAAACACTTTCCTTGACCTGTGCTGAAGACAAAAGCAAGTGAACATAAAATTAGAAACAATGACTTAAATTTGGTGTAGTAAGTGCTTTGTCTTCTCAGAAATAAAACTCCGAAAGGTGCTTATAAATTGGGAATGGTGAATTCTAACTCACTGAAAATATTAGGTGCCCTCTCAGGGATGATTACTCATTTTGAGCCATCAAAATGAGTTATAGGCCAGGCACCGTGGCTCATGCCTATAATCCCAGATCTTTGGAAGGCAGAGACGGGCAGATCAGGAGATCATGAGTTCAAGACCAGCCTGGCCAACATGGTGAAACCTCTTCTCTACCAAATATGCAAAAATTAGCCAGGCATGGTGGCTGGGCCCTGTAATCCCAGCTGCTTCGGAGGCTGAGGCAGGAGAATTGCTTGAATCCGGGAGGCGGAGATTGCAGTGAACTGAGATCGCACCACTGCACTCCAACCTGGGCGACAGAGCAAGGCTCCGTCGAGAGAGAGAGAGAGAGAGAGAGAGAGAGAGAGGGAGAGAGGGAGAGAGGGAGAGAGGGAGAGAGGGAGAGAGGGTCTGAGGGAGGGAGAGAGAGGAGAGGGAGGGGGAGAGAGAGAGATGTAGTTATTTATAATCACGTGATTCTGAGGTCCTATTTGTTCTCGTGTCATTCTGATCTAGGAAGGGGCCTTCCCTACGACTAACCTACTTGAGTGTTGCTGATGCGGATCTTCTCAACCAGACTTGGTCGCGGGGTGGCAATGAGCAATGTCTCCGGTACATCGCCAACCTCATCACCTGCTTCCCTAATGTATGTGTCCGGGATGAGAAGGGAAACCCCATCTCTTGGTGCATCACAGACCAGTTTGCCACCATGTGCCATGGCTACACCCTGCCAGAACATCACAGGAAAGGTTACAGCCGGCTGGTGGTCTTCACGCTGGCTAGGAAGTTGCAAAGCCGGGGATTCCCCTCTCAGGGGAACGTCCGGGATGACAACACAGCATCTGTAAGCCTCCTGAAAAGTATCCATGCTGAGTTCTTGCCTTGCCGCTTTCACAGGCTTATTCTCACCCCTGCCACTCTCTCTGGCCAGCCTCACCTCTAGCCCAGTGAAAAACTGCAGTGGTTTTCTTACTTTCCCTGAGCATACACACTCTCAGCTGCCGATGAGGGGAGAGTTAAAATGGGAATCGGGATACTCTTGGGTTGTTGGAAAGTATCTGGCTAATTCATACAGGATCCACTTGAGAAGCCTGAATTCTTTGCATCTCAGGTTTCTCCAGTAAACAGCTGCGGGGGTGAAGAGTAGCTGTGGCTGAGGACAGGATGATTGGCTGCACTGTATGAGAATAGGTTCTAAAGCCAGCAGTTTTAGTGCGCTGGGAGAAATGACTGAATGAGAACAAATGATTTAACCCAGGACTATGGGGCTACTGCTTTATGTTTGCTGCTGGGACCTCTGTATTCTGAGAGCCACATCGCTTCCCTACTGCCATCACTTTTCCCTGTTCCCACTGCTGTGTCTCACCAACCTCTGTTCCTAACACCTCTGCCGCCAAGTTCTCTGTAGAGTAACCTGCTTTTTCCCTTCGAATTACTTGCTCTTTACTTCTGCCTAGAACTCTAGCTTAATAGTTCCCTGCCCTGGGAATGTTCAAATGCAGTGGTTCTTAGTTTTAGTGTTTATCAGAATCACCTGGAGGGCACGTTGCAACAGGCACCCCTAGGCCTCTCCTGCTATGAGATAGGGTCCAAAAATTTGCATTTCTAACAGCTTCCTGCTGCTTATTTGCCTTGGATGAATGACAATATGGGCATTTTGATACTATAAACAAATGCTGTAAGCGTAGAACTAGACCTTACCTGTAATCTATTTCAGTCCCTTATTTTTATAACCTATTTCCCATATAAAACTAAGATTCATACCTAGGGGTGTGTGGGGTATACAAATGAATATATAACATATATGCATATACATATATATACATTCAATTCATATCTTCTATATGTATATGTATATGTATATACTCATAGAATTTTGATAAGTTAATAAACTTTAACTCTCTGATTACATATGAAAAATTTGAGGACCAGAGAAAAGAAATAACTTTGTCAAGATTATATTCTTTATAATCCGTACTGGAGGCAAAGCCAGAATGCTGTACTTTTAATTCCAATCTGTTCTTTTCACTAAATCGTGTATCTTTTTTATAAAGAAAATTATAATGCTTAAATAATTAAAATATTAATTTATGTTTCTTTTATCCTTGTCATTATTTCTTCTTAATTTGGGTTCCAGCTGCTTGTGTATGTGTATCTTTCAAGGACAACAAAGAAAGAGGTAAGTATCACCAGCTGTGTTCTCCATTTACAATAAAAGCAGGCACTAACAAAAAGTTGGATTTGCCTTGTCTTGATAAACTTGACTTAGCTGCATAGAAAATACTGATTTCTGATACCCAAGGAGGACACAAAATCCTGACTACAAAGATAGGGGAAAATCCAACTTTTAGGTGTTTATTCTGAGAAAAGGAAACAAACTGGCTGAAGTAGAGCACATTTAAATAATAATAAAAAAAAAATAAGACTCAGTAAGAATGAATATATGCTTAGTTTGAGCTCATGGTTACCTGGAAACTTATCTATTGTTGGATCCAGAGAGGAAAGCACTAAGTAACCAGAATCCATAAACCTCTTAGGAGAATATGCCCTAAGGATCCTAATTATCTTTAGCATGGAGCTTGATATATGGCAATATTATTCTAGCCTTTTTCCTAATGATAATTTCCCTAACATTTGACATTATTAACTATGTACTAATAATTGCACCAAATATGAGATGTATATAACTTAATCCTTTTGAGGGATAAGTTATTGCCTTTTGTGGGAATTCTGACTTAGAGGCTTTATGAGCCACCAAAGTTATGCAGACTTTAAGTGGCCAAATCATGATCAGAACATGGGTGTGTTGGATTACAAAGCCTGTACTACTAGTCATTAAGCTAATTGGCCTCTCAAGCAGCTTGGAACATTTTGTAAATAATTATTCCTTTATCTCATTACTTTCTGAATTTTCTGCCTTCATCTCCACCCCCAAAAAAGACTGATATTTGAATTTTTTTTTTGTTTCTACCAACTTACTCTTACACTATTTTCTTACTCTCATCTTCCAGCTAACCATGTTGGATATAATTTCTCAATTTTTAACACTGTTTCTGACCCATTTAAGGCATGTGCAGAGAAATGTCTGGAATGAGTAGAGGACAAGGAGAAGAGAAAGACTGAAGAAGCAGAAATGAGGCTGGGCATGGTGGCTCACATCTGTAATTCCAGCACTTTGAGAGATCAAGGTGGATGGATCACTTGAGGCCAGGAGTTAGAGACCATCCGGCCAACATGGCAAAACCCCATCTCTATTAAAAATACAAAAATTAGCTAGGCATGGTGGTACATACCTGTAAGCCCAGCTGCTTGGGCAGCTGAGGCATGAGAATCTCTTGAATCCAGGAGGTGGAGGTTGCAGTGAGCCAAGATGGCACCACTGCCCTCCAGCCTGGGCAACAGACCCAGACTGTGTCTTTAAAAAAAGAAGTAGGCAGAGGCTTGATCAACATAGGTTTTACTTGTTGATTTAAGAAAATTCATCTATGTAATATAAAAATCAATAAAAAGCTTTAAGCAGATCATTAATCTGTTTGGAAATTAGTCGAGAGGCTATAGTCTAAGCAAAATATAATGGTAACTTGGATTTGAATGCTACCAATGATAATGGTGAAAAGTGAACAGATACTTAAACTATTTAGAAGGAAAAGTTGTTGGAACTTAATAATTTAGTGGCTGTAGGCTATGGCAAGAGAGAAATGTCAAGGATGACTACTGGACTTCCATGTTGTAAAAGCCACAGCTGGTGGTACTTTTCACTGAGATCAGAAATCCTGGAACAATCCCAGATCTGGAGCAATTTGTAGCAAGGAAAATATTTGTTCAGTTTGGAGATGTTGCGTTCTGAAACATGCAAGTGATGGGATCAAGTTGGATATTTGAGTCTAATGCTCAGAGAAATTATTTGGGATAGAAATATAGATTTAGAAGTATACAGATAATAACAGAAGCCATGAGTTTAGCTGAGGTTGTCTAGGATGGAACCTTAAATGAATCATCTATTTAAGGCAAGGGAAAGGAAAGGCTCTGGAGTAGGAGAATGAGCAGCCAGAAGACAGGAGGAAAGCCAGGAGATAACTGTTGTGGAAGAGAAAGAAGAAAAATTTTTAAATGGAGGGATGGTCAATGGTGTCAAATTATGCTGAAAAATCAAGAATACATTAGGAATGAAACATCTTCATTGCACTATTAAAACCAGGCAAAATGAATATCTGCAGAAGTCAGAAAGTAATTACCCTTTAGAAGGATAGTAAGTAAAATTGGACATGAAATGGCTTCAGGATTTCCAATAATGTCCTGATTCTTGACTTGGGTGGGTTACAAAGGTGTGTTCACTTTGTAATACTTTGTTATATAAGTGTGTTCCACTTTGTAACACAAGTGTGTTCCCTGCAGCCATGATTTTACCAGGCCCTTCTCTGCTGGGCTCAGTCTTTCCATAGGCAAATCTGCATGACTACTCACCTCCTCCTCCCCTGTGAGTCAGGGCCTGAAGCATGTGATTATCAAACTATGCAATTATGATATATCTACTTTTCTGTATGCATGTTATACTACAATAAGGAATATTCATTAATAGAAAACAGGCCTGAAATCTGGAAAATAATGCATATTTTCATGACATAGAAGTTCCATTTTTAAAAATTTGTCATACTGGTATAATACAAAAATATGCAAAGATTTGTATAAAACAATGTTTATTACAGTGTTGTGTGTGAAGCCAAAAAAAAAAAAAAACCCTAAATATTTTAAGTAACTCACTGGTTAAATATAGTACAACCATTCAATGAAATTCTTTTTTTTTTTAAATTAAATAAATTTCTTCATTTTTAATTTTTGTCATTCAATGATATTCTACGGAATACTAGAAAACTAGATTTGGTGACACAGAAAAGATGTACATAATAACACTAAATGTAAAAACAATTACAGAAAATATATGTAATCCACTTGAAATTCAACTGTGAAGGTAAAGAGAGAGTAAGTATGTAGGTAAATAGTTTTGAAGGAGGCAGTTTAATGGGTTTTACTAAAGATATAGGTTGATAAATGGTGGCACATATTTTATGGTGTGCCCATGGCTAGATATAATAATAAAAGGACTCAGTACTGGCAACAGCTCAGCGTTCCTGAAACGTGTGCTTGTCTGTTTTGGATGAATTTTGACTAGATTTTGTAAGCATCTGTATATTTTAGCAAGAATGAATATTCAGTCTACCTAAGATCCACTGAGGACATAGAGGGAAATAACTAAGAATTCAATCTGCTCAAACTTTGGGAGCAAGATAGGTAAGTGAAATTGTGGGGAACATTTATACGGCCTCTAAAATAGAATCTCATTTAACAATACAAGATTTGATTAAGTTTGCATTATTTTAGTCACTAAGTTTTGTTCAATGATTAGAATTTTCATAAAGAACATGAGATAAATATATATTACATTTTCTTAAGCTGTCTTTGATACACCTCAAACTTTGTATCCCTTTTTCTAACCTCAGTAAATACTAAGGGCAAGGAAAAAATGACAATGAAAGTAAAAGGTAGCAGATGGAGTAACAAAACACGGAGTACAAATATTATTTCTTCTTTCTTGCCTGCAATGGTTGCATTAAAATTATTTATTAGAGTGAGGAAAATGAAGACTGTAGAGACACAAAAATACGGAATTTTTTTTCTATATCAATTTGGCTAGTTAACATTTCCTAAGCTTCTAGTAGCCCAAGATTCTCAATCTAAACTCCAACAGTAAAAGCTAATTGTTAATTAACACTTTGCTTTTTCTGATCTTGGCCCTGAAGGATGGAATCAAAGAAGGAAGAGTCACTTCTAGTGTCACCTTTTATCCTAACCTCCTCCCACGTCAGCAGTGCTAGCGTCACATATGTTCCCAGCACTGTCCCAATTTTGTTCACTACTTGAGGAACCTTTTTTCCTTGAGACAACTTTTGTTCACTTCTTAATTTTGATCTTATGTTTTAAAAAATTACAGAACGTGACCGGCATGGTGGCTCGCACCTGTAGTCCCAACACTTTGGGAGGCCAAAGTGGGTGTATCACTTGAGGTCAGGAGTTTGAGACCAGCCTGACTAACATAGAGAAACCCCATCTCTACTAAAAATACAAAAAATTAGCTGGGTGCAGTGGCTCATGCATGTTATCCCAGCTACTAGGGAGGCTGAGGCAGGAGAACTGCTTGAACACGGGAGGCGGAGGTTGCAATGAGTGGAGATCGTGCCATTGCACTCCAGCCTGGGCAACAAGAGCGAAACTGTCTCTCAAAAAAAAAAAAAAAAAATTACTAAATGCATAGCTAATGTCTGAATTTTCCTCTTACTAATTTATTTGCAATTTTCCTTTTCACCAACAGATATATGTGATTTCAAGGTAAAATATGTTTTAGATGTTAAACACTGTTATAAGACATTCCTTATGACAGGACTATGAGATGTTGACTTAATACTGTGCAGTTACTGCAGTGAACACTAGATGTCAGATTTTAGTTCTAGATTATTTCCCAGCAGAGGGAGCACTTAAATTTTTCCAAATATTTCTTTAGAATTTTTGCCTCATCCTTTCAGCAGATTCCTATAAGCTTAACTACCACATCAAAGGATATGAACATTTTAAAATCTCAACATATAATGTGTAACATTTGTTTCAAATGATTGTGCCAGCCTATCCCATTTGACCTCACTGTCCCAGAGTTGAGTTGTTTTCGTTTGTTTTGAGACCGAGTCTGGCTCTGTCGCCAGGCTAGAGTGCAGTGAGGCATCTCGGTTCACTGCAACCTCTGCCTCCTAGGTTCAAGCGATTCTCCTGCCTCAGGCTCCTGAGTAGCTGGGACTATTGGAGCGCACCACCATACCCAGCTAATTTTTTTTGTTTTTTTTCCAGTAGAGACTGAGTTTCACCATCTTGACCAGGATGGTCTCAATCTCCTGACCTTGTGATCTGCCCACCTCAAGCCTCCCAAAGTGCTGGCACCTGGCAATCTCATGGTCTTAAAAACAGGAGTTTCTCTGCACACGCTCTCTCTTTGCTCGCTGCCATCCATGTAAGTCGTGACTTGCTCCTCCTTGCCTTCCACCAT